GTTATGTTAGTTTACCAGAGGGTATATCCCCAAAAAACTGGTTGGTTTTACACTTCCATTTTGGTAGAATCCCCAAACCCCAAACCGGCTTGGGCCTGTCAATTTGACAGGCCCTGAAGCTTTGGCCATTGATGCAACGGCAAAAGAAGACCGCCACTGGCCCTTTCGTAAAATGGCGGCAAAAGCTCCTACTTCAAGACACTCCAATGCTCGAATCATCTTAATCTTGCCAGCTGAGGGGAAAGATAGAGCAACCAGTTGTTTATTTCATTTGCAATCAATTTCTAGATTGGTTGTGCCAAAAGTGAGTGGAGTGAGTGAGTTGGTGATTGAGTGAGTGAGTGAACTTGTTTATTTCCTTATAATATATTGGGTATATATTAGGCATATATTAGGTAATCCCACCTGATTTCTCTTCGAAACTTCAGGGAGCATGTTGTACTGCAACCGAACCTTGCCTCCAAGCATCTCATGGCTGAGCCAAGGATCGATGAATCGCTTCCCCTGTAATTTGGTAAAAAGAACACTGGTGAAGGTTGCATGAGATCATAGAGTTCTGGTATTAGAGAGTCCAAGATGGGGACAATAGAAGCCATAGGGATTTTGATATGATCCTTCCAAAGCTGTGGGAACCACCAGCCATAGCTATTCAGGTTGTTCATGGAGTGTCCACTGTTCCATCCGTCACTGGTGGTTCCTATTATATTTTGGCTCACTAATGTGATGTTTGATGATGCCGTGATGTTTGATGCTCCAAACATGGTTTGCCTCGTTTGCTCGTGGATAAGACCTGCCAATTTTTAGATTTGCGACAGGTTAGGTACCTCTCATCCTCTGCAGAAACCACTGACAGCTTTTTCTGCTGTTTCCTTTGTTGCCACCTCATGCTCCCTATGATTGTGGCGCTTGTGACATGTCAGGCCAAAGTCTGAAGCTGCAAAATCCGCAGGGGCTGATTGATCATGGTTAGTTAGCCTGAAATATTGGGTCAAGCAACTGAGGAATCAAACAATAGATGGCTTAAGAATCACAATAAGCGTTACCGATGGGATTGCCATGCCAGCCCCTTCAGAGAAGGATCATAAAAGATCCACAGTGTGATGTATGTATATATATATATACACAATGATGGACAATTCATGTAGATACTGTTCATCATTTAAAGCTGGGATTTGAATGATGATATCTCCTAATTCTAGTGGTTGCATAGCATTGCTGTTGCTCTTCCAATAAGACATTCTGCCAAATTTTGATGGCAATTTTGAATGGTGAAAATAATGAGACCTACCTTTGGATTTAGGCCTAGCCTATTCTTGGACAAAGCCAAAATGATCCAAATGGGATTGTGAAGCGAAACATATGAGGGCTCCACGATCACTTTCGCGATCAGTCTCAGTCATACAGATATCACTGATATCACTGGGATCGTGGAATGGTGGCCTTAGTAACAAGATGTACCCTCTGGTAAACTAACATAACTATGGAAAATCACCATTTTTGATGGGTAAATCAACTATAAATTGCCATTTTCAATAGCAACCTGTTAGTTTACCAGAGGGTAACAAGGGTGATGTTTGGCACTTTTGAACTGCGCTCATCCCAGCATCTCCACTCTCAGAAATCTCGATTTCTCGCCGCAAGAGACTGCACGGTGTTTTTGTTTCACAACTACGTGAGACATCCGATCGCACAAAACCCTATTCACAACATGTCACAACGAGATCTTCTGCGAAGAATTTTTAGACGTTCCGAGTTTCCGTGGTGCTTTTGCGTTGGATCTGCTAGGATCATCCCTTACCCGGCCTGGTAAACGTTAACAAAAAACTCATGGAAAGATCCACCATGCTATTAATGGGAAAATCCACTATTTCTATGGCCATTTTCAATAGCTATGTTAGTCATTACCAGAGGGTAAATTACAGTGGTACATGTAGTTCGTGACTTGGTTCATTTCCACTACCAGATGGATGAGATGATGACGGTCAGCACCTCTCAGACCTGGCGCAGGGCGGCCAACAAAACACCGGCGGCACATCGAAGTGTTGATAAATGGACGAAAAAAAGCTGCAAAAAGTGTGGCTTCCTGGCTTCAAAATGATTCAAAATAGCTGGTAGATGCTGCTTCTGGATGTGCCTTTCATCGTATCAAAGATTTTGACACTGGCCAAGATGTTTCCAGTGGGTGACTGCCGTCGCCCCGGCTCACATGGAACTGTATGTCATGGATATGCAAACCACGAGTTTGAGATAGTTTGAGTCATCTCCCTAGTTTCATGGCAAATTATCACTACATTCTGGGTAAAAGGAGTCATTTCATCATGTCATATTCAGCAAAACTCACCTCTAGGAGCAAGGCAGTAGAAGATCTTGCCAGACTAGCTCACGGCTGACCATGTGTAGCATATCTCAAGCAAACATGATATCTAACCATATCCAAGCACCAACAAGACTGCAGTTCATCCATCAAAAAACCACGGGGAAATTCCCTTCCTTTAGTTCGATCAGATCATCCAGCTGAAAAAACCTCATTTAAAGATGATGATTATCGATTATCTTCCCATATTTTCCATGATAGATGATGATTTTCCCATATGTTCCATGGTTCCTAGCAGGATCCCAACCAGAAGCTACAAAAAATGCCCACCTGCAACGAAGCCTTAAAGCGAGTGAAGGCCGTATTCATCCCCTTGGCTTCGCGATGCTTCGCGGGGTTTTTTGTTGGCTCTGGGTTGAGCGTTTGGATTAAACATGTTCCACCTAAAAGAAAGGTGAAGATATGTGAAGATTAGATTTGTTTAACCAAAAAAAAACGATGATTTCAGCGTCATCAGTGTTTATTTTGTGGCGTTCAATAAATGTCTTGAATCGGGGACACTGCAAGACCTGAATCTCGGAAGTGGGTCGTGCATGGGGAATGATCATCCTAATCTCTAAGATGACTCTTGATGAATTCAGAATGTCTATAATATAGATATATATAGATATATATATATAGGTTTCCTAAGTCATGGGGGAACCCCCAGTTATCATCCATTTCATTTTCGGATGTTCCATGAAGTCACCATCCAAACTCAACCATCCAATGGGGTCCCTTCGTCGCTTCGCACCGCTTCGCACCGCGCACCTGCGTTTTCACCACAAACGGATTCGTCGGAGCCACCTCTGCAAGCTGAGCTGATTCCGCTGAGCCAGGCTGGGAGGATCATTCTTCGCCAAATGGCGTCACGCCGTAACGGAAAATACCAAAGGACCATAACCCATAGGATCCATGGTGCTGCTATATATGCTAACATAAAGGGTGTATATTGATGGGATCCATGTTACCATATATAGCATACATGGATCCTATGGGTAATGCTTCCTAGAAATTTGGTGGTTGGGATAACAATGGGATTAATGATCATATTAATTATGGATACTATATGGATAATATCCACGAACCATTGATTATTCAGATAATATGGCTACTATATGGATCATATATGGATATATAGTATATGGATACTATCCATGGATATATAGTATATGGATACCTGAGAAGGGGGGGGACGAAAGCCAGCCCCCAAAGCAATGCTCATGGTTTTTTTTGTCTCTGCGCTGAAGTCTCTCGAAGTAAAGGCGGTTGTTACAGTAGTTGTTAGCATTCCACGATACTTTCGTCCAGATCAGCTCCAGCTCGGCCGTTTTAGGCCAAATCCTGGCCAGGAGCCTTTTGGAGCCAGATCCAGAGCAGAAACCTGTTGGAAGCAATTTTCTGCCATTTGGCGGCCATTCGGCCGGCTATTGCATTTCGCTTTTGGGAAGAACGGGAAACGGCTACATATACAATTTTAGAACGAACAGCAAGCAAACAGAAGCTATGAACCAGCATTGTGAAGCTAAAAACACATAGACCCTTTTACACACAGACCCTTGCAGACTACACACAAACGCTTTTACACACAGACACTTTTTTACTTCGACACACAGATGCTTTTACACACAGACCCCTTTACAATAGCTTTACACAGAAACACGTTGACACAGAGACGCTTTTACAGACAAACAGCTTCACACAGACACACAGACGCTTTCACACACAGACCCGTGTACGCAGGGACAGCTTTACACACAGACGCTTTTACACATAGACCCTTTGACACACAGACCCTTGCACACACAGACGCCGTGAGACATAGACGCTTTTTTCGCACAGACACTTTTTGACACATAAACATCTTGACACAGAAATGCTTTTACACAGAGACCTTTTTACACACAGACACTTTTACACAGAAACCTTTTTACACACCGACCCTTTTACGCATACACAGAAATGTTGCACACAGACCCTTTTACACACAGGCGCTTTTACACACAAACACTTTTACACACATACGCTTTTACACACAAAGCTTTTACATACAGACCTTTTTACACACAAACATCCTTACACCGAAAGGCTTTTACACAGAGTCGTAGTAGCACACAGACTGTTGGACACACAAACATCTTGACACAGAAATGCTTTTACACGCAGACCTTTTTACACACAGACACTTTTAAACACGAACCTTTTTACACACCGACCCTTTTACGCATACACAGAATGTTGCAAACAGACCCTTTTACACACAGACGCTTTTACACACAAACACTTTTACATACATACGCTTTGACACACAGAGGCTTTTACACACAGAAGCTTTTACACAGAGACCCTTTTACACACAGAAGCTTGTACACACAGACCCTTGTACACACAGATATATCTACAGAGAAACGCTTTTACACAGAGACGCTTTTACATAGAAACATCTTCACACAGAGACGTTGCGGCATGTTTTTTTTACCTTCATTTGTAAAGCCGAAAAATGGTCAAATAGTTAGTGTTTTCGTGTTTTTTGAACAGTCTCGGAGCAAAAAACTCCGTTAAAAAAAAACCGCGTTTTCTGACGCCTCGCAAGCCCGGAGCCTTTTGGAGCCAGCTTGTGGGACTTTCGCGGCTTGCGGGCCGGCAACTAAAAGGGCCTTCTGGGATCAAGGGGAAACGGCCATTTTTAGCCAAATCCTGGCCGAAGCCTTTTGGAGCCAGCTTTTAAGACTTTCGCGGCTTGCGGGCCGGCAACGAAAAGTGCCTTCTGGGCTCAAGGGGAAACGGCCGTTTTAGGCCAAATCCTGGCCAGGAGCCTTTTGGAGCCAGATCCAGAGCAGAAACCTGTTGGAAGCAATTTTCTGCCATTTGGCGGCCATTCGGCCGGCTATTGCATTTCGCTTTTGGGAAGAACGGGAAACGGCTACATATACAATTTTAGAACGAACAGCAAGCAAACGGAAGCTATGACCCAGCATTGTGAAGCTAAAAACACATAGACCCTTTTACACACAGACCCTTGCAGACTACACACAAACGTTTTTACACACACAAACGCTTTTACACACAGACACTTTTTTACTTCGACACACAGATGCTTTTACACACAGACCCTTTTACAAGAGCTTTACACAGAAACACGTTGACACAGAGACGCTTTTACAGACAAACAGCTTCACACAGACACGCTTGTACACACAGACGCTTTTACACACAGACCCGTGTACGCAGGGACAGCTTTACACACAGACGCTTTTGACACACAAACATCTTGACACAGAAATGCTTTTACACAGAGACCTTTTTACACACAGACACGTTTAAACAGAAACCTTTCTACACACCGACCCTTTTACGCATACACAGAATGTTGCACACAGACCCTTTTACACACAGACGCTTTTACACACAAACACTTTTACACACATACGCTTTCACACACAGAGGCTTTTACATACAGACCTTTTTACACACAAACATCTTTACACGGAAAGTTTCACACAGAGTCGTAGTAGCACACAGACTGTTGGACACACAAACATCTTGACACAGAAATGCTTTTACACGCAGACCTTTTTACACACAGACACTTTTAAACACGAACCTTTTTACACACGGACCCTTTTACGCATACACAGAATGTTGCAAACAGACCCTTTTACACACAGACGCTTTTACACACAAACACTTTTACATACATACGCTTTGACACACAGAGGCTTTTACACACAGAAGCTTTTACACAGAGACCCTTTTACACACAGAAGCTTGTACACACAGACCCTTGTACACACAGATATATCTACAGAGAAACGCTTTTACACAGAGACGCTTTTACATAGAAACATCTTCACACAGAGACGTTGCGGCATGTTTTTTTTTACCTTCATTTGTAAAGCCGAAAAATGGTCAAATAGTTGGTGTTTTCGTGTTTTTTGAACAGTCTCGGAGCAAAAAACTCCGTTTAAAAAAAAAAACGTGTTTTTTGACGCCTCGCAAGCCCAAAACCACGGTAGTTGCGGTGTTTTTTTGCTCCTGGAACCAAAAACCACGGTGTTTACAGTGTTTTATGGCCAACACCTAGCAAAAACAGTGGTATTTACGCAGTTTTCAGCATGTTGCAAGACGTACTTTTGCCAGGCCAAACGCACAAAAACACCGTAAATTACAGTGTTTCGGCATTTGAAACCCGATGAAAACCGTCAAGAACCACCAACAAGGTAAAGCCGAAAAATGGTCAAATAGGTGGTGTTTTCGTGTTTTTTGAACATTCTCGGAGCAAAAAACTCCGTAAAAACCGTGTTTTTTTGACGCCTCGCAAGCCCAAAACCACGGTAGTTGCGGTGTTTTTTGCTCCTGGAACCAAAAACCATGGTATTTACAGTGTTTTATGGCCAGAACCTAGCAAAAACAGTGGTATTTACGCAGTTTTCAGCATGTTGCAAGACGTACTTTTGCCAGGCCAAACGCACAAAAACACCGTAAATTACAGTGTTTTGGCGTTTGAAACCCGATGAAAACCGTCGAAAACCACCAACAAGTGTCCAAAATGGAGCATCTCGTTCGGGCCCAAAAAACCAGGCAAACGGCAGGTCGGTTTTTGAGCTCTCCCCCCCCAGGCTCCGGCCTCACCTTTCAAAAACGGACCGATTTCGGGCCTCCCCCCCCCACACCCCCTAGATTAGCTTCGCTTCGCTTCGCTTATACCTATACTCAAGCCCAGGCCTTCGGCTGGCTTTCGTGATATATAGTATATGGATACTATATGGATACTATTCTGGGTAAAAAAATTGAGATATTTCACGAACCTGAAATGTTGGGCCCACCATGGGGATGATTTCCCTATTAAAAAAAAAACTGGGTTCCAGGGCTCGGGAGAACGACGTGAGGTCGTTATTTCTATGAAAACCAGATAAAACATCTTATAAAACCCATCAAAAACCGCCACTTTCCATGGCAAAATTCACTGAATGGGCATTTTTGACGATTAATCATGAAATGGTGGTTTCCTGAAATGGGGGTACCCCCTGTCATCATCCATTTTAGATTGGGATGTCCACGGGTTTCCCATTTTTGTTTTTTTACCATCCATTTTCCGGTACCCCGATCGACTGGGAAACCCCCAAATCACCATCAAATTTAAGGGCCCACAGAGGCGGCCTGCTCGAGCTTTGAAAAGTACTGTTGGAACTCATCCTGCGACAGCTTCATCGTGCACGACAACTAGGGAAATGACCCAAAATAGTGGTTGGGTAAACAACAAAAAACAGATCCCCCAAGCGATCTTGGTTTATAAGAAGTCTCATGTACGATTCTCTCATAATATGCGAAAAATCCCCACTAATCTTGATTGTATACAAATCTTTGCTACCCACGTGAGCAGTGTTGAGAAGCCAAGCCTTCTTTCCAAGGTGAGTCATACAGCAGCACATATTCACCTGGCATCCGATGTTTTTCTATGACAGATATCTGATATCCCATAAAAAATATCTTCAATATATAGTAATGTCCCAAGAATAGATGTTTCATAGCTTTGATCTCGATCTACAGCTTTCTCCTAGTCCACACAGCATTGCTCGGTGTATTGGTCGCTATTCCGCAGCTTGCCATGAAATCCACCAGCGCACCAAAGAGTCGGGATCATTGGGATTGCTGCTCAAAGCTCGTTGCAAGTCCTGCGGAAAAATCGACTGGTGAAGATGTGTGAATTCTAGTGTTTTTTTGGGGGATATAACATGATATGACTCAGGTTTATATGGGATATACAACATGAATTCTATGCTTTATGGGGAAGTCTATGGTTTTTTATGGTTTATGATATAACTATTTGGACTATAGCTAAGGGTGGTGATTTTTACCAACATTCACATCAAGGGGATGATTTCACTGCCAAGGTGATCCCTGAAATAATAGATATTTATGAAACAGGCTTATTTTCACCAGCACGCAACCACTCAAAAGGGCGGCAATACCTGTAGCCATCGACTATTCTCATGTTTTTCAAGTGGAACTTAGATGAGGATCTCCGCTCCTGAATAGAAGTACAGAAGGGCCTAAACTTCCAAACGAAACAAAACCCTGGAGACGAGCTGGAGGATATCATTGAACAGTTGAGAAAATTCCCTGAGGTTAACCCTGGACATCCCCCTGGCTACATCAAACGTGCCTGGAGACTCTCCTTTAAATGGACGTTTAGTTCCCTGGGAACATCATCTGTAAATGATTGTAAATGAGGGATCCAGCAAGCCACGTTTGATTGCCGGAGGGTACGGCTGTATTCCAAAATCATCTCAGCATGATTTCTTGATCTTCCTATCCCGTTGATTCCCGAAGTCATCCCAATCCTTAGTTCATTCTACTCTTCACCATATTATGGTGAAGGGGGTTGTCTGGTCGCGTACCCTCAAAATCCCATGGTTGATCTATATGTGTTCCTCTCAAATTGCTCTTTTATGGGAACATAGCCATGACAAAAGGCCCATTTCTGGCTGACTTCACTAGTTTTTTCGTTATTTTCCATAGCTATGTACAAATACCGGAAGGTAAAACCCATGGAAATCCCATGGAAATCCCCATTTCCTGATGGTTGAACTCCAGCTGTCAATTCCCCAACCCATCCCAACACCAGCAAACCAAACTGGCCGTTTTTCGAAACCCAGCCTCCACTGCTTCAGAGAACATGCCGCGCTGCATGTTTGCCAGAGCCTGGTGACTCCGATGGATGTTCGATGGGGTGAATTTCCCGTGTCATTTCTTGGTCTCTGAGCTGCATCTTTCTCGGTCACTTTCCAGTGACTTGACCCAATTTCGCTGCATGAAATGGGAAAAATCCAGAGATTAACAGAGAGTGTGTCTTTGTCATTTTCAGTGAGCCATGAAATGTTGATAAATGGTCTTGGAATCATGTCGGCCAGCCTTTTGCTGAGGTGACATACACAAGTCCACAATCTGATACTATGAGATTCTATGGTAATGTTCATCAATGTGTTGAAAACCTGTTTGATTTTCCGGGCTACATCTGTCGGATGTTCCAATGAATAGATTGTAAATGTGTTACCCAATCCATGAATGTGCATACAAACTAGCAATAGATCTATTTCAAATCAATATTTGGATCATGTTGGATCTATATTCTCATGATCAATAAATTCACTTTACATCATTGATACATCATTCAAAATCTCGTAAATTTTGTTTCAGGTCACCCTGCCTTGCCAGTCTGCAACAGCACCGAGCCAGACCCGGAATCCTCGATCGAAGTGGGCATCTCGCCAAATCATCTATGAAATCATACCCTCTGGTTATGTCAAAATAGCTATTGAAAATGGCTATTTATAGTGGATTTACCCATTAAAAATGGTGATTTTCCATAGTTTTTTGTATGTTTACCAGAGGGTAAATGAGGGGGAGTTCCATTTCCATGTTTGATTCCCAGAGGGTATACCGGTATACCCGAAAAAAATTATCTACGAAGTATTGCTTGGTTTTGTCTGGTAGCTATACTATTCCTCCTATCTATGGGCTAGAAGCATCCTCTTAAACAAGATGGTATTATAAACTATACAATAGTCAAGAAAAACATTCCACAGAAAACAGGTTGGCATATCGGTATTCCTATTTTCAAATATTCATGTGTCAGTTGCCAGCCGCAACCAACTATGGTAACCAACGAATGATAAGCTAAGCAACTATGATCAACAGCTATCATAAACCCCTTTCCTGGATTATCGGTCCAGGTGCTACAACCAACTATCACAGCCAACCAACAGTTAAGTTTACGAAACTCACCACTGAGCACCGCATGTCGGCCAACTGGGACCCACTTAGTTCACTAGTTTAGGGATGATTCCCCAGAATAAGCATCATGTATGGTGAGGCAATGTGAGGTCTAGCCATGTTAGCCATGTGAAACCGTTGATCCCTGGGGGCGTTGCCCACTCCACTTCCGATATCTCAAAGGTTCATCCATCAAGTCGGATAGTACGGAAAGTTCTTCTGAATGTTGGGCATTTCTCCACCAGAACAAGTATAGTTTGTTCATATGTACGTACACAAACATCTTTCATGGGGGAGAGGCCCCCTTAGTAGGTGGAATGGTCATCCAAGCATTACGGATGGTTGAGTGGAGTCGCGCGAGTCAACCCGAAAAAGTCCCGTTGTCTGTCCGCTGAGTCCGCCGCATCGCCCTCAATGGCAGGGAATTGTGAACAAAGATCACAGTAAGTGAGGTACCTCACCGAACTCAGAGATGGCTGTGAGTCACAGTTTTCTGGAAAAAAAGACGCTTGCGCTGTTTTTCGAGGGTTTGGATTGTCTAAAAGTCTAGAAAGGCCGTGATCCAGACCTTATCATATCTTACAGTCTTACTCAGACCCATGTACCCTCTGGTAATTTAACATAGCTATTGAAAATGGCCATTTATAGTGGATTTACCCATTGAAAATTGTGATTTTCCATAGTGATGTTAGTTTACCAGGGGGGTCTGGAAATGTCACAGTGAAGGTCTGATTCTAAACTCAATGGATCGATCTGCACAATGAGGATCCCACCATGGGGTGTAAACCACTGAGCTATATACAGGGTTTTGGTTCACCACCAAAACCCCAATGCCATCATGTTGATCGTCATATTTATGTATACATATCCCCACTACATACATCCCCATCAATATACCATACATCTGGATGGATCAAACAAAACGAAAAGTTCAGCTATTTTGGGATAGCTCCACCAATCCAATTCCCATCATTCCGAGGTGTGATTTATAACGTGTCGATAAGTATTCGATTTATATTGATTTATCCTAGTTCTTGGTTAATATCCAGTCCAAAACGAATGATTTCCTATTTGCCCTCCAGTAAATTAACATAGACCCTGCCAGATAGGGGTTGGAAGACTAGTTTCCACTATAAATTGGTCATCTTCAGGGTCTATAGCCATATATTTCTTGGAAATTTTTGGTGATATCAAGACTGTTTTTTTCATTTTTGCTCAAAAAAAAAACAGTCCAAAAAGATAGAAAAATCACGGTTGTTTATCACCAAAAGTTGGCTTATCACCAACAAAAATATACATCATAAGTTTATCACCACCATAAGTTTATCACCAACAGAAATATGTTTGGTTTATCACCATAAGTTTCATATTTCTGTGCCGGCGCACGCTTCCTCCGGGTCGCCAGTGGCCAGCTTGACAGCTGCGGCCGCCAACCGATAGGCAGCCTGGTGAGGTTTCTATAACAAGTGGCTTGCCAGTGGAGGTCTTGTGGATATGATTCAGGAATATATATATATATATATTACACATTATGTGTACATATGCATATATATATATATATATGTATACAGTATGTCTGTCTTAGTAGATATGTAATATGCATCTACATGTATTATATGTATAAATATGTACATGTAGATGCTTAGTGGCGGAGAAAATGACTTCTTTGTCGAATACGACATACAATGGGGTCCCCACGTCTAAGGCGAAGCAGTACTCAAGTCATCATAAAATATTCTTGGCGGCTACTCTTATACATAAGTGTGTGTATATATATATCAGATTATATAGTATAAATGTTCATATATCTAACATCTAGTACAGTAGTCTGGGATTTTCTGAAGCTAGATTCTATTGTCTGGGATATTAGTCTAATGCGATGAAATGGGGATATATACTGACAATATGATATACGGTTGTCTCAAGCCATTGGAGATTTAGCTGCAACAAAATTAGCCGTTTTAAGAGGGAAACATGATGATAGACTATGGGATTTGGGAGTCAGACATACCCATGCACGCATGTCTATATAGTGTATATATAATATACGTACGTATATATACACTTTAAATTTACATTTATGTAATAGAGTGCAATATGTATCATAGATAGGGTTCCGTTTCTCAATGGCACTAAGTAGATATTGGTTACAATCATATCATTTCAATCATACATAGTCATATTGCTTTGCCAGTTTGCCAGTTGCTTGCACACAGCGTATCTACTGGTTACACAGAAACAAATGGCGAACAAGGTAATAAGAAGGGGTTACCCTCTGGTAAACTAACAGTTTGCGAACTTGAAAATGGCCATTGAAATAGTGAGTTTTCCCATTAAATGGTGATTTTCCAGTTCGTTATGATAGTTTACCAGAGGGTATTCCATTATAATCCCAATGAATCCATTATCAATGGATTATACTACCTGGATCCAATAATCTATTTCCCATGAGTTTCTTTTTTTTGTTTACCAGGCCGGGTATTGAGAAACACAACAGGTATCCAGGTATCCCAAGGGGGGATGATCACAACTGATCCGCTGGTCGTTGATGGGCACCATTTATAGATGGTTTCTATTTCTATATGGAAAATGGCCATAGATGTAAGTTATATATGCCCTCTGGTTATTTAACAATATATATATATATATTATATATTATATATTATATATTATATATTATATATTATATATTATATATTATATTATTATATATTATATATTATATATTATATTATATTATATTATATATTATATATTATTTATTATATATTATATATTATATATTATAAATTATATATTATATATATACACATATAGCGAGAGAGAGAGAGAGAGATCTCAACCCAACCATGAGAACAGTATATACCATGACCATTTGGTCTCCCAACCATTCCACAGACAGAAAACTCATAGCTATCTGCAAACCACCCAACCAATTGCTGGTGATATTTTCACTGTGATCCTATCATTCTTGGATGTAATTATTCTCTTTTCTGTTGTTGGCTATTTTATCATGTATATTCCCAGAATGTTCTTGTGTACCCTCTGGTAAACTAACATAGCTATGGAAAATCACCATTTTTAATGGGAAAATCCACTATTAATGGCCATTTTCAATAGCTACGTTAAATTGCCAGAGGGTATCATGTGCATCTCCGTTCTTGATGGATATTTCCTCATGTTCGTAACCGAGGTCGCAACCGAGTCATCGTTGTTGCCGGAGGCCTCCTGGCGATGCTCATCATTTCGTGAGTGTTTCTGCCCCAAAATTTTGGATCTGAGAAACCAATTGCATTGTGGAAACATAATGAGATAGATATGTGTATATATATACATACATACATATAGATATATATATATACATATATAAAGATCCAGGTATACATATATATATGTGTGTGTAATGTCCTCATGGTGTTCGCCACATGATTCTTATCACCGTCATCAACAGTCTTCTGGTTATTATTAATTATCATTATTATTACCTTTATCACTTGTATTACTATTATCTTGAAAGTCCTTGATGGATTTTGGGATACGGGGATACTGTTATTGTTGGAACAGGACCATGTTTGGCATGTATTTTCCAACAATGATAATGGTAATAAAAGCAATAATTAGCAATAGTAATAGTCATAATACTAAGAATAGTAGTAATACTAATTATGCGCAATAATAGTAGTAATACTAATAATATAGTAGTAAGAATACAAACAATAGTAATAGTATGCAACAATAGTAATGATTACATTCATGATTAAAAAATGCATCACAGCGTAACTATTACATCATACGCTATCACATCATTACTTGTGTGTATGATGTAATAGTTACACATGTTAATAATTACATCATTCATGATTCAAAAGAAAACACATACCCTCTGGTAAACATACAAAAACTATGGAAAATCACCATTTTTTATGGGTGAATCAACTATTTCTATTCCCATTTTCTATAGCAATCTCTTAGTTTACTAGAGGGTACACTACATATAATCATATTGCTGATACTATTACATATATAAGAACAGGAAGGATAATATAAATCATACTATTACAGTAATAAGTAATGTGGTTAAAACAAAAATAAACCATCCCCCAAATCACCATTTGTATAGGTGGTATACACCATTCCCAAATGGGTGGTTGATTATTGGTTTAACCACATCAATAACCATCATCAACCATTATTATTGTTCATTATTATCCACTATTCATCATTGTTAACCATTAACCATTTATTAATCAGTGGTTTATGGCATTGTTTTAACCACATTATGTTAATCAGCAATAAGTATATTACCTTCTGGCAATGGCTGACATAGCTATTGAAAATGGCCCTAATCGAAATAGTTGATTTACCTATTAAAGATGGTGGATCTTTCCATATAAATCCCTATTTTCCCAGGGTTTTCCCATGGTTTTCCCATTTTCCTATGGTTTTCCTATGATTTTCCCATTTTCCTATGGTTTTCCTATGATTTTCCCATTTTCCTATGGTTTTCCTATGATTTTCCCATTTTCCTATGGTTTTCCTATGATTTTCCCATTTTCCTATGGTTTTCCTATGGTTTTCCAGAGGGTGATCACTGTCTTCAGCGCCAAAAGCGGGGGCCTTCAGCAGTTTTTCTGCCATGGACACCTGGTTACAGCTGAGCGCCAGGAAGATGGTCAGCACCTGCTTCCGAAGGACGAAAAAAGTTCTCGGCCAGAAAACTGGGTGGTAGAAAAAAATAACATACTTATGTATTATATATATATGGCAGTGGGTCAAAACCTTGTACCCCTGGTGAACAATAGCTGGTAAATGGATGTTCATCCCTCTAAAAATGGTATTAATAGGTATTGATTCATAGCCATGTGTATATATATATATGTGTCTATATGTATGTCTCTATATACATATATATATATACATACACGTATAATATATATATATATATACTGTATACAGCGAGAGATGGATTAGTAATGACTTGATGAACAGGATGCACGGATGCACGTCAAAGTGACAGTGGGATGTTGTTTGAGATCGTCCAGCTGGTGATGAAATTCGCAGGAAATCAGGGCTCTCTTCCAATTCGCTTCCCTGTAGCCCTTTAACATCTTTAACATTCTCAACCTGTTAGGAACAACGCAGATTTCATCAAAATCTATGTGGCTGTTGTGAGACAAATAAAGAGGCTGAGTCGTTCGGTTTTACCCTCTGGTAAACTAACATAACTATGGAAAATCACCATTTTCAATGGGTAAATCCACTATAAATGGCCATGTTCAATAGCTATGTTAGTCATAACCAGAGGGTAAGTGCACCAACAAACTGCTGTCTCTATCAGTGACAGTCGCATCCGCGGGCCCACTGGCCTGCATTTCAAGGACGGGATGTGCCTGGCGATGTTTCTGGCTCCAATATCAATCTCTCTTCCCCGACGGTGTCAATGAAATTTTGGATTTTTTTTAACCTTTATGGACCAATATTGGACACTGCCAAGTACTGAGCGAATTAAATGACCAAAAAGCTTTCCAGTTTCGAAGCTTGGGAAGGTCCCTGCATTGTCACCCATTTCCACATGGCTCTATGGCCTACCATGGCCTACCAATCGACTTGAAAATAGACCGGGTAGTATTCCCACATCCGTGGTTTCTTGATGTTTTTTTGGGTGGGTGGTACTGAAAAAAAGTATTGAACCCTGTAGAAACCCTTGATTCCTGTAGAACCCTTGGTTCAGTGCTGGATCTCTTCATTTTGGGTTCCATATTAGAGGTATTTGATATTAGCGGGATAGTGTTACCTCAATAGTAGGTATGAAACTGGAAATAAACGCCAAAAAGCCATCCATTTTTGAATGTATAATATGGATGTATAGTTTTGAGAAAAGATGGAAAAGATGATGAAGTGCTAAATAATATATAACAATATATGATTCATTTTTTGGATATTCCAATAATTATAATATATAATAATATATAATTTAATACATCCAATAATGACATTTTTTGGGTCCCTTGTTCTTAGAATGGATGTATTCAATTGTTTCCGGAGGGGATGGGATAACGGCATCGTCCACGCCTTGGTCATTTGTGCTGCCTCAGTCCAACTGCCTAGGTGCTGCAACGGCAGTCTGTGTAGGAATCACGAATCACAACAGCTATATGTGGTAGTAAAAATGTTTTAACAATAAATTTGGTTAGTAATCTACATCAATTAATGTTGTCAATTTGGGAAGGGTTAGATAATCTACAGCAATCAAAATTGACCATTTTTATGGGGTGGTTTATGATTGTTTTAACCACATGAAACCATGAGCCTCTGGTAATGGCTGACATAGCGTGCTGGAAATCTCACTGGAAACCCTGATCTGGTACCCCTAGGCCCTCGCCATCCATGGCAAGCACCATGGCGTTCAACATCGCACAGCTCATGTCCTGTCGGTGGATCTACATCCGCTCTCAATTGACATCCAGTTTCAGGTCAGGAAAAACCACATAGCCATGGAAACATTCAACAAATGTACATCAGCTCCGAAAAAAAATAGATGCAAGAGCTAAATCTTTTGAAAAAACGGGCATATCTGTGCCAGGATTTTTGGCACCAAAGCCTGCCGAATGATGATCAATGACAGTAGTGCTATGACAAATGATCATTGCGTCAGGATGAGAATCCAAAAATGACTAAAAGGGGGTGGGACGGCAAAAAGTCCGCTGGTGCATGCATGTGTAGACATATAGATATATACATATATATATATATACGTTATATATATATATATATGATATTATATGCACATATATATATATATGTAGTAATATGTGTATATATAATTATATGTAATGTGCACATATAATTATATATATATATACACATATGTCTATATATACATATACATACTATGTGTGTGTGTGTGCTGACTTGATTTCGTTCATGCACCTAACCTTCGTTCATGGTGACCAGGACAGACGCATACAAGGTGAGGTTTTTTCGGCCGGCCGGCCGTTCATGACTGGTGAACGTTTGGGTTTATAGGAGATATAGCTATAGACTATAGGGTTTATAGGGTTTTAGGGTTTTTGGGTTTTTTTTTAACCAAGTTATTGCTAAAATCACCGAAGCAAATGAAGAAAATCTAGCATGTTATAGCTGGTAAAATCATCGAACTCAATGCTTTTTCTGACGATCCAACCATGGTTTTCCTGGTGCCTCACCAACAGTGGACGTATCGGATAGTTAACCAAGCCATGGCCTGAGTCTCTTTGGCCAGAGCTGCTAGACGTTCCTGACAGTCGGGAAAAATTCATATGTCGCTGTCCTAAAAATATGTGGCTTGCTGATACCCCAATAGCTGGATGGTTTATAATGGACAATCCTAGTAAAATGAATGGTTTAGGGGTACCCCTATTTTAGGAAACCTCCAGATTGGAATATCCAAAATGGAGGAAAATTATGAAAATGGCGTTAAACCATCATGATGGTGAATGGTGATTAATATTGGAATATCCGAAATTATGGAAAAAAAACAAAATCACTCAAAAGGTGGCATTATAATGCATTATACAATAAATGTTTGGAGATGGAGTATCATGAAAAATGGTGATAGTTGATACTGCAAAAACTCCGAAAATATTTCGCTAAGTTTTACAGAAAACTTAGGACTTAGATGGACTTAGGATCTTTGCAGGAAAAACATTAGCAGGGACTTTGACAACCCAAGTCCTAGAGAAATTTTCGTAACTGAATTTACTGGATTTCGGGGGCAAACTGAGGATACTTGCCAAAAAGGACAAGCCATGTCATCAATCAATGGCTCAATGGCATCCGTTTTTTCTACCCTCTGGTAATTTGTTACATAGCTATTGAAAATGGCCCAGTCGAAATAGTGAGTTTCCCATTAATAGCATGGTGACTTTCCATTGCAAACTGTTAGTTTACCAGAGGGTAAATCCTATTAAACCCCGTTAGATCCCATTAAACCACCATTAAACCCCATTAGATCCCATTAAACCACCATTAAACCCCATTAGATCCCATTAAACCACCATAAAACCCCATTAGATCCCATTAAACCACCATAAAACCCCATTAGATCCCATTAAACCACCATAAAACCCCATTAGATCCCATTAAACCACCGTAAAACACCATTAGATCCCATTAAACCACCATAAAACCCCATTAGATCCCATTAAACCACCGTAAAACACCATTAGATCCCATTAAACCACCGTAAAACACCATTAGATCCCATTAAACCACCGTAAAACACCATTAGATCCCATTAAACCACCGTAAAACACCATTATACCATAGTTAATGACGCCACAGGCTGAAAGGGGTCAACGGAACGGCATTGAACCAGCATATCCAGCATGCAAAGCTCAGCTCGGGATTTCACATCTGGTGGATTACCCTCTGGTAAACTAACAGTTTGCTATTGAAAATGGTGATTTATAGTGGATTTTCCCATTAAAAATGGTGGATCTTTCCATAGTGAACTGTTAGTTTACCAGAGGGTATCCATTGTAGTCCTTCCCCGGATCAGGATTCGTTCGGGGATTTTTTCCATGCTTGGGGGTAAGTGGATCTATGACGGTAAGGGACTCACTTGCGCACAAGAATTGACTCATCTGCGCACAGAGGGTTTTATACCATGTCTTATCATTTTTGTCTCATCTGCGCACACAACTTTGACTCATCTATACCACCCCTGTTCATGTTCACTTGCACACACTGGCACTGCACTGGTTGGAGTAAATGCAGTGAAACAGTTCTAACTGAGAGAAGTAGCTCAAATTCTTAAGTGTCCTGGACAGAGTCTTAAGTCCACTGGGCAGAGTCAGGTGGAGTGAAAGAGAATAAGTACAGTAAGAGTATAGTGCAGTGAACTTGCGTAGAAGCTAGTATAGTAGAATAGGAAAAGTCGGAGGAAAGTAGCGTAGATTCACCTGTAAAACGGAGTAACGTCACGTGCAAGGCCGAGTAGAAGACCCGCGTGCACAAACGCGTTGATTCTCCGTTACAGGTGAGGCCCTAACCATCTATGACCACAGTTATAGGGGATATATCCCAACTTATGATGTTTTTTTAAACCATGGTTATAATTCATCTGTATTAATAATTAGTATTTCAACCCAAGAAATATCCCATCTGTATATCAACCATTAGTATAAAAACCATTAGTATAACACGACTAACCATGAAATAAAACCCAGAAATATCCCCTTTATATGTCCATGGTTTTTTTCCAGTTGTACCGATAAAAAAAAACATGTGTTTTTTTGTGAAAACCAGAACCACAGCGGCATGAAGGACCTTGGCACTGCTAACTTGTTGTGCGTTTTTGGATTTGGTGATCACCGCCATCAACGCCGCCTGCTGACTCTGGTGCCGTTAGTTGATGAAAAATCTGGGGAATTTGACCGATTTGACCTAAGAATGGTGCTATAATAAGACCAACGACAAATGGGGATCTAATGATACATTTTTGGGATATATATCAGGATGTATCATGACTAAACCCATTTTTATGATCCAATGATACATTTTTGGGAGATGTAACTAACGAGATGAGATTGGGTTTGACCAAAAATGGGGGATAACTGTGTCGAAATTCATGGCAATTGTGAAAGGGTAATTCATTGGAAACCATTCATAACCATTGCAGTACCCGGTAGCCTATCTTTAGACAAAGCCATAGAAAATCTGCTGAGTTCGAACGCTAGATTTCTTGAGATGATGGCTGGGGTTCCAAACACTTTTTTTGAATTCTTTGATACATGGGGTAACAGAAATATGTATACCCTCTGGTGAACTAACATAGCAATGGAAAGATTCACCATTTTTAATGGGAAAATCCACTATTTCTATGGCCATTTTCCATTGCTATGTTAGTTCACCAGAGGGTAACTGGGCTTCAAACTGGTCCTTACATTTTGAAGCCCGACCAGGGTATCCCACTTGGATGGCTTGGATGTTGGCAAAACCAGTTCCCCAGGATTCCAACGAAAAAAATTGCATGGCGTTTTAATTTTTCCGAATGAAAAGGGAGATGTTTTACTACCTGGTTGGTGGTATACCTACCCCTGGTTGGTGGGATCTTTTAACGATGGAACATGGGAAAACCATAGGAATCCACGTTTTACTACCTGGTTGGTGGTATACCTACCCCTGGTTGGTGGGATCTTTTAACGATGGAACATGGGAAAACCATAGGAATCCACGTTTTACTACCTGGTTGGTGGTATACCTACCCCTCTGAAAAATATGAGTTCGTCAATGGGAAGGATGACATCCCATATATGAAATGGAAAATAAAAGCCATGTTCCAAACCACCAACCAGCTACATGTTTCAATTGAAAAAAATGAACGTGCTAAGATAACATGGTTCATAACTCTTGGGCCGTTGGGTTAATGGTAGATCATGTGTATTTATTGAGGTTTTTAGTCAGCATGTGCCATGGTATCCTCAGGTCAACTGACGGTCAAGCATCAGGAATCCTAGTCCTGGTGGATATCTGAATCCCTAATGGATTGATGACCATCTCCAATAGGAAAGGCTACTCTCCAGTAATTTAACAGTTTGCTATTGAAAATGGCCCATGTATATATGATTTACCTATTTAAAATGATGATTACTATAGTTATGTTAGTTTACCAGTGTATATCATGACACACATTCCAATTATGTGAACTTTTGTCCAATACTGGATCCCAAAAAGAAACACGAGTGTTGATTGGTGATGATCTATTCAACTATTGTAGGAGCGGGGAAACCATGCTAGGGACCCCACCCAGCCTTTGGTGAATGAGCTGAAACGATGGGTTTTTCTTACATTGAACCCATCTTGACTTCGGAAATCTACCTTTGCTGATTTTGTCTTGCCGCAATCGAAGTGCTCCTTTCTTCGAGAGTTACTTTCAAAATCTACAGGATTTTTCTGAACGTGTCATTTAAACCCCGCCAGAGGTATGATATCCAACAACCATGGGCAAGTGATATGCAAAAAAAACCCTCAAGCTCAGGACTCTCTAAGGTCCGTCTGACAAACGCCAGGGCATCCCGTTGGCTCATGGATGGTAATTCCCCCAACTATGGTAATACTACGTCTAGCCCATCCCCATATACATACATGTGTATATATATATACATATGTATATATGTAAATATATGTATACTTGTCCCAGTTTTTTGATGGCAATAACATTGGGTCAAGATATATCACTTCACCCTGCAGGCGCACCGCTCGTTGCCCTGGGATCTCGGCGTTTTGCATCGCCTGGATGGCCCAACTACAGTCGTGGGTCAATATATGTCAATGCCAAGGGGGATGTGATATACCTATACATATATATAATATAATATATATATATTGATAGTAGTGTAATACTATTTTTATGTATATATATATATATATTGATAGTAGTGTAATACTATTTTTATGTGTATATATATATATATTGATAGTATGATGGAAAAAACAGTCTATAATTCATAGTATAATATACCTATATATATATATGTGTGTTGTCTATATATATATATATATATATTGGGATATTCTGGGGAAATATGATGTTAGGGGCTTCTTTTTGCCTTTTTGCAGCGTACTGGCATGGCCGGTTCAAAGCGGCCGGCGCCGATAAGCCGATAAGCCGAGAAAGGACAGAGTCTGCCCTTTATCGGTTTATCGGTTTATCGGCTGAAGCGCGGAATTTGAACCGGCGTTGCCAGTTCAATGCCTTTTTGAGGGAAGATGATTCGGAGGATGATTCGAGGGGAGATGTTCTGCAAATGTTGCCTTAAACCAGTCCAATAGGATCAAAAATTGATGTGTAAATGGGGATTGACTTCAGCATCACAACAAATGGCTGGTTGGTGGTTTCAACCCCTCTGAAAAATATTAGTCAGTTGGGATTATTCTTCCCATTCTATGGAGAAAAATAAAATTCATCTTCCAAACCACCAGCCAGCCCAATATATTGGATAGATTTGGATAGTACAATGTGGGGCCCCCTAGTTATAAGTTGGTTTATAAGCCCCAATAACTATAGTTATAAAAAATGTTCCAAACCACCAACCAGATGGAGAGTGATTTCTGGGTGATCAAAATGATGGAGAGTCTTCCATTCGGTCCATTCGGTCAATGCCCGGGGGGAATCGGCATCCATAAGTGGGTTAGACTTAATAAACATATAATGCACCAGTTGCAGTAGATACCCTCTGGTAAACTTACAAAAAGCTATTGAAAATTGCCATTTATAGTGGATTTACCCATTAAAATAGTGATTTTCCATAGTTTTTTGTATGTTTACCAGAGGGTAAATGGAATATACCACTTATCGAAAGCCTGGCTTTTGATCACCCCAGCCACCATCCCTGGGATTCACATCCAAGTACAGTACGAAAATAACTTGATTACTAGGCTTTATGAACAATATAAATACACTATTCATGTTTTTTTACCAACAAACTTACTTGGAGGATCATCCCACGGATATTGATAACCATAGTGATCTTGTTCATCCATTTAATCATGGGATAACCCACGAATCGAGAACTTTCCCTCACACCAGGGTCAATCCCTTCCCGCGTTCATATTCAACACCCCCAAACAAAACCTAGAAGCTATGGTTTAGTGGGGACTTTCCACAAAAAAGGGACCATTAACCATGGGGGTCTTTAAAAAAAGAACGGCCGGCCGGGTCTGGATTCTCCGTCAAACCCCGGCCTTGAGCCGATCGATCTGAGGGATGGAGAGGCAACAGCGTGCCAGGGTGGCTCCCAGCCTCAGCTGACTCTTCGACGTGTCGTTTGGATATTCGTTGGGCGCTTTGCGCATTGGTCGTTGGTCGGTCAAGGGCGCTGTGGGCGCAGCGCTTTGACTGAAATTGCTCTGTTTGCGTAAAACTTCGCTGGTTGACTCGCGTAAAACAACAATCATCCAGGCTGGGCCTCGGTAGTGATGTCTCCGGCATCGTAAGTGGTCATCAAAACTCCAAGGCCCTTTTCAAAAACACATTGAAATATCGCTGGAAGGATTCCATTGCCAAAACTTGGGGAAAAAAGATTTTATAAAATATACAATACATATATATACAGTATATATATATATACAGTATATATATACAGTATATATATATACATATATAGAAACAGCAATTTATGATCACCATTTCATCAATGCCCCTGACGGTCCCCATGGGTCCCCCAACTCACTCTGTGTGAGTTCACTGGAGCCCTTGACGGACTCGCAGAGGCTCAGGGCCTGCGGATCTGGGCGGATCAAGACTGTGGGTTTTAACGGAAAAAACCCGCGAGGGATGGAGATGAAATTGGAAAAGAAACCATGAATTGTTGGAGACAATCCATTTTTAGTAACATTTAGTATGGAAATAAAAAATGACTTTTAAATGGATCCTATACTATTTCTAGTCCATGATTTGCCCATTTTGTTGGAGAACAGAAGGATATATATATATGTATTGCTCATTGCCCAACAAGAAATCACAATTTCGGGGAACCATTGGAATATAGTCCAATATCGCAACGAATTTCTTCCAAACAACAAATAGACCCATACTCCTTGGTATTTCGCAGTACTCCGGCAGTGGGTTCCATACTCAGCAATGACATATGCATCATTCCTAAGGGCTAAGGCGGCTAAGCACAAGACACCGGCAGGGCAGGTCTATGTCTCCAACAATCCAACGATAAGCCGATGAACATAGACCTACCAATAGTATAAATTAGTTCATAGTATACCCTCTGGTAAACTAACATAACTATGGAAAATCCCCATTTTCAATGGGATAATCCACTATAAATTGTCATTTTCAATAGCTATGTTAGTTTACCAGAGGGTAGAACATCAAATCACTGAACATCAAATCACTGAAATAGTATAGATGAGTTTCCCTATCGAAATCGATGGTGATTGGAAATTTAGACAACAATGGAATCCCTTAAAGCCAACACAGTATTTGGAGCCATAGGTGGGGCATTCACATTTGGAGCCAATACTATTTTTGATGCTCTTTTCTTTATGAAGGGCACCTGCCAGTGAGCTTGTGACCCAAGAGTTCATGGCTTCATCGTTGACTCTTAGCTCAATCGTTGTCTCATGGGGTGACATTTCCGGCGTTCTCAAATGTAGCTGACTGGAAAATCCCCACGCTAAGTTGAAGGTTTATATATATATATATACATACATATATATATATTAATATATATATATAACCGGGAAAAACATCTATAAATGATGCATCTTCCAGCAAGCCATGTTCGATTACCGGAGGGATCCTGTGTGATGTTCTGGCTCTGAAATGCTGACCGCTACTCATAGTTTGCAAAAGAGATTTCCTGCACATAAACCCAACTATCTTCCAGGGAAAAAGGATGAAAAAGGAGTGTGGACATCTATCCTCAACTGATAGAAGTTACTAGCCCTCCAAAATATCCCCTATCAATCCTCCATAAATATGTTTGTTGCTTGTTGTGCAACATGTCCCCCGTCCCACCTTTGAAAAGTTGCCTACATAGAAGTTATCCCGGACCTGCAGGCAACCAGGGCATTTCCAGATTCCAGATTCCGAAACGTCCGAATCTACGAAATGACAAAAAAGGAAGCTAAAGTTGTCATCGATCTCAAAAACTGCAGCATATTGTGGGAATATCATGGAATACATGTATATCTTATATATAATGTGTATATATATATATATATACATATATATATATACGGCAAATGCCTGGGTTTTGCCCGGACCCGCAATGACGACAGGCGACGCATCATCATCATCATCATCATCATCATCAGAGTTAAACCCTTATTGAAGATCTTCAATGAATGTAGAAAATGAGCGGGGTGGTGAGAATTAAACCCTTATTGAAGATCTTCAACGAATGTAGAAGTTTAACAGGTTTGGGAGAATTAAACCCTTATTGAAGATCTTCAATGAAGGTAAAGTTTAACGGGGTTGGGAGAATTAAACCCTTATTGAAGATCTTCAATGAATGTAGAAGTTTAACGGGGGTGGGAGAATAAAACCCTTATTGAAGATCTTCAATGAATGTAGAAATGTATGTAGAAGTTTAACGGGGTTGGGAGAATCAAACCCTTATTGAAGATCTTCAATGAATGTAGAAGTTTAACGAGGTGGGAGAATAAAACCCTTATTGAAGATCTTCAATGAATGTAGAAGTTTAACGGGGGTGGGAGAATTAAACCCTTATTGAAGATCTTCAATGAATGTAAAATTTAACGGGGTTGGGAGAATAAAACCCTTATTGAAGATCTTCAATGAATGTAGAAGTTTAACAGGGGTGGGAGAATTAAACCCTTATTGAAGATCGTCAAATGAATGTAAGGTTTAACGGGGGTGGGAGTTTAATATTCCCTAGTTATTAACTTTTGTTGATCTTCCCAATTGAATGTAAAGTTTAACGGGTGGGATTTTTATATTCCCTAGTACCTTTTTTTGTTTTTTCCCATGGGAATTTAAGGTTTAACGGGAGTGTTTTATATTCCCTAGTACCTTTGTTGTTTTTCCCATAGGGATTTAAGGTTTAACGGGGTGGGAGTTTAATATTCCCTAGTACCTTTGTTGTGTTTCCCATAGGAATTTTGTGAAGTTGCATCAGCATTTGTTTGGGAATCGGAAACCTCTACGCTGCAACGCGGGCAAAACCCAGGCGTTGCGCGTATATATATATACATATATATATACATACATATATATATACATATATATATATATATATAATGGGCAAATTATGGGAATATCATTGATTATAATTGACTATTATAATGATAGAACCAAACACAAAATAGGATATATAGGGACTAACTGATGATTGGAGAATCGAAAATGGTGGCCATCGACACCCCCTTAGCCATTTAGGAGTCAGATCCAATGCCACTGGTAACGCTGGTGATGCTACACCCATGAAACCTTTTTCAACTGGGAATAGCTGAACATGTCTTCCTTTCATTTCTAGATCAATCTCACCATCAGTTCGGAATTATGAACGTAGCCTGGTTTGTTGGAGACATTCGGAACGGACCCAAAAAAACTGTGCAAATTTGTGGATTTCAGCAACAAAACAACAACGATTTCTCCACAACTGTGGACGTAGGATGACAAAATCCACCAAAAAAACCTTGCAATTTGTGGTGTATCCCCAATCCAAACATAAATACTCCCATCCCCGTAGCCCCATGGTCCCAGTCAAAAAAGTGTGTCGCGTTTCGCCTCTTGCAACTCCTCTTCCATGATCTCCGGGACCTGGTGAAAATTCACCATAAGTCAACCAAGAAATGTAGAGAGACTTCAGGCATTGAACCATCAATTGAACCAAGAAAAACAGAGACATTTTTTGCGACGTTTGGGATTTCACTTGCACTGGAGATGCAATCACCAATGATTTTTGGGATTTCAGCAACAATCCAGTGACTGTCCGCTGAACAAATTTAGGACAGAAGCGAATAAAATGGATGTATAGAACCAAGAAAATTGAGTACGACCACAAAAGTCAATGGTCATTCTTAGGATTACTGTAAGAAATCCAATCTTGGGGTCGCTAGTTTCAATCCAAACACTACAACTTTTGCGGCCCCCGTCCCCCTCAACAATACTAGGGAGCTTTGCCTGCAGTGCGGACATCAACTCAGGTATATCCAAAAAATACCAGGTGACATTTTTGGGATCTAAAATATTCTGGAAGATATCCACGCACATTGTATGGAGATGAATCTTGCTGCGTTATTAGAAAGATACGCTGTTCTTGATCCCTTCACAAAATGAATACTGCAGATCCAATACTAAACCATATAAAAAACCATATGAAAACCATATAAAAGCCATATATATATATAAAAACCCCGGGCTTCGTTTGGGGGGCATTTCATATATGTCATCTTTGGGGGATCCACCCCAGCAGCAAATCCCACCTGGGACCGGAGAGATTCCCGCGGCTTGTCTGAACCAGAAAAAAAGGCGATCGATGAAGATATCCTCTGGTTATGTCAAAATAGCTATTGAAAATGGCCATAGAAATAGTGGATTTACCCATCTATAAAATGGTGATTTACCCATTTATAGTGGATTTACCCATTAATAGCATGGTGATTTTCCATAGTGTAATAATGGAGGTAATGGAGGTAATAATGGATGTTAATGGATTTTAATGGTGATTTTAATGGTAATTTATGGTGATTTTCCATGGGATGTAATGGGATTTACCCTCTGGTAATTTGTTAACATAGCTATTGAAAATAGCCATAGAAATAGTGGATTTACCCATCTATAAAATGGTGGATCTTTCCATAGTTATGTAAACGTTTACCAGAGGGTAGACTCATTGGGTTGGTCAATGGGAGAATCTTCACTGGAAACCGCCGGAAACCAACTGGTGAAATCAGGTTTTCACCACCATGTTTGCTGGGTTTTTTTTGCATGGTTTCCGGTGAAGAGAACTTCCCTTGAAGCAATGGAATGATCAACTGGTTCTTCACAAAACTGTTTGTCCATGATGTGCCTTGGGAAACTCAATAGCTCGGGAAACTCAATAGCTCTAACTGGCTCCCCATTTTATTCAAGGGATAGCCTGGATAGCCAGAGCTCCAAGCCGCCCTCCCACAAGCACCAGATAGTATATGACCGAATATGGAGGGGGTCTTAAAATGAAGGACCCCAAAGTCACCATGGGTTTTAAATGGTTTTCATATGTTTTCATACTATAGTTTGGTCTGATGACCCGGATGACCCGGATGATTTGTGGATACCCCCCAGTCGCGCTGGGCGCAACGGGAACCCCTCTTTTTCTCCAAGTTCTTCGCCATCAACAATATGGAAAGCAATTTTTTGGATACAGCAATTTTCAGATTTTCGCCAATCCATCTCCTATACTATGTGATACTATCTCCTATGAAATCCTTTGGGAGGAATTGGTCTTGCAATGTTTTAAACTGTGTATGTGTTTACATAACCATTGAACGGTTTCGGTTGGCGTACTCATTAAACAAAACGCGTAGATACAGCTCCAGTGGCTCGATATTGATCAGTATGGCAGGTCCGCGTCTTGGGATTGCGGATGGAATTGGATGTCATTTTTTTATATCCTTGCATACCCAAACTAAGTGGAAGAACATATGGGCAGTGTCTGACAAAAATAAGTTATACCTCAAGAATTGTACACCAAATGGAATGGGGTATACCTCCAAAATCATGATAGGAAACATGATGATACACCAATAGAATTTGGGGTACCCTAGTTTCGTGACAAACCCGAAAAAAACACCAACAGATCCTTTTTCCGCTTCGCATCAACGGCTCCTTACGTAAATTGCTCCGCGCTGACTTCCATGGGTCCCTCGTGGATTGCCAAGGCGTCCAATTCCTCTTGGCGCTTCGCGGCATCTGGACTTCTCCCCAAGTTTCAAGCATCGATGCTTGAGAAGTTGAGAATACCCAATGTGTATGTATAGCCACATATATATATATACATTTATGTGTATGTACATATATATACATACATACATACGTTTCTATCTATATATATATATATCTATATACATATTTATCTCTTTATTTATGATTTATTTACATGGTCCAAGGATCACATCGGACGACTTTTTGGATCACTTCGGCCGACAATCTTGGACCTTTCGGGTTTATCTAAGGGGAGGCTGGGGACTGGGGACCGCTGGGACAGGGGACAGAGGGGTTCACTAGAGGTGCAAATATTGCAAACCGTGGGCCTTTTTGCGAGGTACTGACCAATTTGCATATGTAATTTTTTACATATGTTTACATAATGTACATTATAATATATATATATATATGTATATACATATATATATATATATGATTATATATCTTATTTATAAATCAACTATAGCAAATCAATGACGAGTAATTTTTGCTGGGCAATCCTGTCCCTGCAAGACGTGAGATCTTTCATTGACCGTCCGAATGCTGCCCCAAGTAGCTCGCCCAAGTAGCTTCATGGCTGTGCTATACACAAGTAAGAGACGCCCAAAATCCAAACAAACCAACTACCCTCTGGTTATGTCAAAATAGCTATTGACAATGGCCATTTATAGTGAGTTTTCCCATTAAAAATGGTGATTTTCCATAGCTATGTTAAATTACCAGAGGGTAAATGAATTTGTCTGAAAATCCATGGGTATCCTGAGACCATCATCATTTTTCCTATAAAATTGCTTGGACCCCGAGTTCAGACTGTCAGAGAAGAGCTATAGCTTGCATCCAATTTTCCAATGTCAATGGGAGGACGTCAGAATCAATACAACATAATACAACATGAGTTTTGATGATTAACTGATTAACTATTAGATCAACTCCGAGCAACCGCCAACGTATCAGTGCGTCTCCTGCTGCAGCCTCAACGCCAGCATCTCGGGTGAATCCGGCCGCCGCAGCTGCAGCACCAGCAACACGAAGGGCACCGCCAGCGCCAGCCGCGCCAGGGCCATGTGGTGCCGGAAGCCGACAGCTGCCAGGGCCAGGCCTCGGAAAATGGCGGTGGATGGGAAACTTGCATGTGGGATCAATTCAGAGATCAAAAGGCTTCCGGTTTGCAATAGCTTTGATTCCCAAAAAGGATTGAGACCTTGAATGTGGGTCTTCTGAGATGTCCAACGGGTACAGTATCCATTGCGACTCTTGACAAAGAAACAAACTCTGGCACCAGCTGTTTCCACGGAATCTTCAAAGGTCGGAACCGAACTTGGGGTCCAGAACCCATCACCAGGGTTCCCCATGCACGTCTAGGCACATGCGAAGCAGGCGCTCTGCAGGACATTCATCTGCGGCTGAGCAAAGGGCTGCGCGAGGCCGGTGACCAGCGCCATGCCCAAGGTGATAGCCACGCAGAGCCAAAGGTTGTCCACAGCCACCACCTGAGACTTTGACTGCACTGCATGGTTGATGTCTAACAATGATGCGGAAGAAGCTCGATGAAACCAGGGACCATGGATTTCCTGCATCGGACCAATTTTATCTCAGCCCCACCCATGAAACTCTCCAAGGCACCGAGACCAAGGCCGCTGCAGCGACCTTGGTGCACACCTCCATCCAGACGTTTTCGCATTTGGCCTCCGCGATGCTTCGGGGTTCAGTGGGGCATCTGTCGGTCGGAAGGGACAACAACCCTTCATTGTTGCATGGCAGCCGGCGGCCATCCCAACTGAACGGACTGAAATGCAACGGAGCGGCATATTTGCAAAACAGCTGCTTTGCACCCAGCATAAAACCTCAGGCGCAGCATCCGATGAACGACAAAAATGCCAACGCGATGTTATCATGTTTTTCTGCATCTGCGGCTTAGCTGGAACCAAGAAAACCAATGAAAAACATCTCAGAGAATCGCATGAGTATGAAATATGAAACAAGAATTCATTGGAGTGGGGTTGCAGACTTGAGAACATCATGCCTACACATAAGCAATTTCCCGCAGCGCATCACCTACTTACACTGATGCTCTGGGAATAGTGTCGCATGACCCAAAGGCCGATACGTCCGACACGCTTGCAGAAAAATTGGGCAAGAAGGACAGTGCCTCTGGGTTCAGGAATACGTAGCACTCAAGAGACACCCAACATATTCTTAAAGTTTGTCTTGGAGGGTTCCTAAAATGGGGGTACACCAAATCATCCAAAAGTCTTCAAGGCCATCTATGAAAAAACGTTTGTTCGTTCGAGCCACGATCAGTTTCCTCCTCCAGAATTCTCCGTTCCATCAGCATCTGCACCATCATGTGCCGTTGCAACACCTCTGCATCTTCCAAATCAGTGCCGAAGACGAGGCTCTCTACCTGAGGAAGCGAACGCGGGCCGCACATCACCAAAACTGGCATGTAACCCGGTTCGGGAAACATGAAGGAACCTTGTCATGCCCATCACGCCCGCGGTCCAAACTTATTGTTGGGACCTGTCAAGACATGCAGATTTGGCATGTCCTTCTATTCAGCTTTAATTATTCAGCTATCCAATTTTCAGGTACCCAACTTTCTTGAAAAAATTGGCGAACCCAAACAGTCGCTTAGTCGATGGCAAAAGGCCAAACGTCTGGTTGCTTTTGGCCAAACCTGGATATTTGGAATCCCTGAACTTGCTCTAAACTGGGTCCTCAAAATCAAAACTTGCTCGTCACATTCACATCAATGAATTTCAGTGAACATCACCAGTGCATCCGTCCCAAGAGATCCGAAAACAGTTTCACCTGTACCAATACACTACCTCTGTTCGCCGGTCACTCAACTCCTCTTCAAACTTTCTGCCCAAGCTTCCCCAAGGGCTTCCGACCCTCCTGCTGCATTTTCCTCAATAGGAGTTACAATCCTTGGGTTTGAAACACAGGACTGGTAGGAAAACGTAGCTAATCAACTGTGCTCAAATCCAAATTGTGAGTTTTGCACGGCTGCTATTGTTTGGTCTTGACTGCAAAGGCCAAACTTTGGATCCTCTGGTCGGGAGCAGGAAAAGACACGTGAGAAACACCTTCCGCAGGAAGACGAGCCAACTGAATCCACCAGCTGATTGGTTAGAATCCCTGCTTTTTCCGTCAACTCTGCATGAAAAATCACCCCTTTGGCCAAGCATCGTTGCGTCCTTCTGCAATTCCACGGTCGCACGACCTTTCACATGCACTGCGACATAGGCTGCTGCTGCGGCCTTTAGGTGCTGGGCCAAGGCATCCTGCACCAAATCTTGAGGTGCGAGGTGAAGCCTTTCTTTATACCAGTAATACTTGAACACATAACATCTGGTGATATTTTGATAGGATACGTTTGGATATTACTAACTACTAACATCTGGATATTTTTGATAACATCATCTTTGGATATTTTTGGTAGGATTCTGAATCCATCTGGTGATACTGGCAGCCTTTGCACGCTTTGCCCATCTGACCGCCGACTCCATAAGGTCCTTTTCGGATTCTTCACTTTTCGGACCTTGCAGCCGCACTGTGACCTTTGCTTCGTTGCGTGCAGTGTGCATGACCACTGTCTTGACCTTTCGCATGACCACATTTTGCTTGGCGAACAGAAACCCCAGGAAGCAGGGAATGAAGAAGCCGTAGCAAATGGCGGTGGCCCAGCCAAATCTATCCACCTCAGCGGCATGAACGCCAGCTGTCTTCTGACAGGTGCTCTAACAATCTGTTTTGCACGAATTTCCGCCGGTTGGATGACATTTCAAGCTGAGCCTCCGACCCAAATGGCTTCTTCACAGCGTTCGTGTGGAAAAAGCGGGCGGAAGGCAAACTCCTTCAATGCTGTGCCTGAGACACTGCAAGCCGAGCAGATGCACCGCAACAATTTGAGTTGACCCTATAATTTATGTCGGATGAATCGGATGAAACCGTGGAAGCTCCCACATTGAACCTGGAAATCAACTGTGACAATGAAACGGCCGCCTGCACCATCTGTTCGCTGGCAGCCTAAAAGCTGCGCACTGCCAGAGGCACCACCAATGAAAAGCACTGTGAGCATCTTCAGCCCTACGCGGATGCCTGAAGTCAAACCAAATCCTGGAGCAAAAGCACTTGGAAGTTCCATCTTTCATTTAAAGAATTGGAATTCACTATGTGGAAATTGGAAAGGTGAAAAGGCGGCATGCAAAGGCTCCATTGTTTTGACCCCTCCAATTTGGCCTCCAATGTCACAGTTTTAGGTGTTGAGGTGCAAAAGATTTGCGCTCAAGGACTGCCAGTTACATTGGATCGATAGAGGGCCAATTTACCTATGCCTCATCGCAAGGCACACCATCAATTAGTCAACTGCAACGAAGTCACCCAATCCGCGTGAGAAAACCTCTAAGCAGCCACAAGCAATCAGCAGCAGCAAAGGAACCAGCGGCGTGGCAAGCGCAAACAGCGAACGGACGGTGATGCCATCCTTCAGGTGGACAAGATTGAGAAGATGCTCATATAAACAGGAAGAAACACATAGAAACACCTAGAAACACATTAAAAAAAGCGCATAGAAACTCTGAAACTTTCAGAGCTGAACACCTTGGGCCCAAGTGCGGGAGTGTACGGCCTCAACTGAGCCAAGCATCATAAAGACATTGCAGAGCCAGGAAGTTTTGCACTTCAGAGCTGGTGAATTGCAAAGCTTCCAGGTATCCAAGCACTGGATCTCCTTGAAGCGGTTTCTAAAATTTTCAGGGTGACAAAACCTGGGAAAGTCGTCCTTCTCCATACTTTTTTTGGAGGTGTAAAAAAAAGCGTAATTGATGAAGCAATTCCCTGGATTTCTTCTGCAATCAAATTCCATGATGGGCATATCTTCCACAACTCATTGGTTCCTGGGCCCGCCAAAAACCTAGCCAATTCCTCCTTCCAAAAGTTTCTGACAAACAACATATTTGGGCATGATATCTAAATTTGGAGCTGTTTGAGCATACCCGATGCATGATGTCCAATTCGTCCAATGCACTTCATTTTCTGCTTACCAACGCGTTGACCCATGCCCATATATACTGAGAATCCAGAGGTGAACACCATTCCCGACATTAGTTGCAAGGACAAATATCCTGTTCATCCTGTGGGGCTGCACTGAAAAAATTGCTAAGACTCCTTGCGCGTTGTCATCCGCTGTGACGGTTGCTTGTGGGTCAGGTGTCAAAGCGCCGAGCACCGTCCAGAGCTGCGTCAGCTGCAGCAGCGCTGCCAGCTGCGCCATGATCAGCTGCAGGAGGCACTCGCTGCGAGGGCTCCGCTGTGGCGCGTGACGCCTGGACAGAGGCTTGGACTTATCTCGACTTCTGAGCTCCGAAAAATGGAGATCAAAGAATGGACAACCTGTAAAACGATAGCAAGGCAATGTACATGATAGTAAAGCAACCGCCAGAGACATGTATTCAGAAATTTGGACTTGGACGTGTCTCATGCCTTTATGCTTCTGACTGAGGTCAACATTTCAAAGAATATAATCATGAAATGACTTATCTGAAAACAAACAACAGCTTGGAAGACACAACAATTCCATACAATTCCCACAAAACTCCAATCTGCAAACAAAACAAAGGCAAGGCAACCAATAGCTACAGAAAATGAGATCCCCTGATCCACATCAAACAGAAAGCCAAGTGCTGAACCTTCTTTTGAAGCTGATGTGGGCAAGAACTGCCAATTCTTGAACAGCAATCCAAGCTAGTTGTTAGAAAACACAAGCTTATAACTTATAACTTATAAAATACACTGGTCACTAAAATACATATTAAAATAATATAAATGCCTCCTTTGAGAGTTGTTCCTGTTACTGTACCAATCATGATGTATGGAATCGTCGACCAATGAGAGGGCCACAGGCTGTTGGAAGCTCGGTGCCGGCTGGTTGCCTCAGCGTCCATGCTGTGGCAGCCACTATCACCAGAGCAGTAGCGCAGCCCAATCCGATTGAAAGTCTCCTTGGCCGTGGCTGATCAAAGTTCAACAAATGATGCTGGCATCTTTGACAGGTAGGTCATGTGGTCAAGCTATTGAGCATCCAATCCTTTGAACAGTTTGATGCAACGGCTAGTCCAGTCCTCTCCGACGAAACATTCTTGCATTCGATGCAGGCCTTCTTGCTTGCACGGTAGCTTTGTGCACACGAAGCGCACAGTAGGCCAGTGCGTCCTCGGAACTTCAGGCAAAAACAACAAAGAATCGAACCATGACTCGAACACAACTTGTACATCACCGAGGTTGTTTCAGCCAGGACCTGCCCTCAAGCCATATACCATGTTTGGATACGTTTGGTTGGTTTGACTCTCGAAACACACTCCATTCAACTCCTTCCCAGTCCTGGTGCGCAACTGGAGTTCCTGCAATGTTGACGATCAAGGCATTCGAAGATCTCTTCCGACGGCTCCTTCAAGCGGATGTGGCCCGGCTCCAAGGGCGCTGTGGCTACAAGGCTTCCAGGTGCATCGCAAACCAGGTGCAGTTTGCCGCAGGACCGACATTCGTGGTCAGAACTGAGCGCTTCACCGCGGTCACATCGGCACATGGTCTTGTTCTCAAACGTCCCCGGCGTACCATAGGGGCACTTGCAGGCCGAAAGGGCCTGAGATCCAGCTGGAGCCTTTCCGCCTTGAGGGCAAGCTTGACACTTGTTTTGATCCATTTGGTCGTTGAAAGTGTTTTTCGGACATGCCGAGCAGTTGGTACCGGCACCAAAGTGGCCTGGGCCACAGGCACACATGATCTTTGGCAAGAATCGCTCTGGCGTGACACGAATATTGGGTCGCACGAGGTCATGGCACGAGTATCCACCGGTCTCCCTTGGGGTCCACATCTGCTCGAGCTGCAGCTCGTTGGAGCAATTCGCCATGATTTCCTCCCTGTTCGCCAGTTCTGTGTTCATCATCCAGAGGTCTGTCCCAGACTTGGCCGCAGCTTTGATGACGTCCCGGCTCACGCGCAACGGGATTTCATTGCGGCTAACATCCAGTCTCAGGTTCGCAAGCAAGGCATCCACCGCATCCAAGCCATTTCCTGAGAGGTCTAGCAGCTGCAAAGAGGTGCCCAAGGGAGTTTTCGCAAGCAGCGCGGGGAGCTCGCCTGTCAAACCACATCCTGCGGCAACAATGCTGGTGATTCTCGTGGAAGCCAAAAACGCCAACAGATCATTGACGCTGGCATTCAGCTTGCTACCACTGACCTAGCAGCCAGAACTCTGCATGAAACTCAAACTCTGTTTGTGAGCACAGAAACTGTTGAAACGCTGAATGTGGCAACACATCCTGATAAAACCAAGCCATCGAAAACAACTAACTAGGCTGCCATGAAAAGGCTACCAGCTATAAAAGACTTCTGCTACCAGTGCTTTGGTGTCTTGCAACCCTGTCTACTGGATTCCTCAGCCAGTTGGCTTCAGTAGCGTCTCAATTCAAACTGGTGTTTCTTTTGCGCGGAATATATGCCGGAAGACTTTATCATTGAAGGGGCACTTGGCGACAACAAGGTACGTGGATGGACTGGCATTGGGAAATTCCAAAGGTCGAAGCCGCAAATCGGAGTCAAGTTGCTGTTGAAATGAGGTGTATATGTATGAAAATTGGAGTCCTTTGCCCCCTCCTCAACATACAAACTCACACAGTTCTCCTCTTCTCAGCACACTCATTCGATATCTTTTGGTTCCATATCGCATGTCACTGACGCCAAAACGAACCTCTTTTTCGATATTCGATCTATTTCGGGCAAGTCTGCAAAGCAGAAAAAACTTACGATACATTTGACGAGCATGACAGTTTTTGCAACCAGCCCCCGCAAACCTAGCATGGATTACATTCCACTGACAGATCTGGTTCTGTCTGCTTCTCTACTGCGAGCGACCACATCACATCCATATGAGTCTATGTATGGGATGTGGACAGTGTGTACAATCGCGCCATCTGCCGAGAATGCGAAGCTCATGAAACAAACAGCTGGCATGTTGATTATCGGTCGAATGTCAAAGCCTTACTTGCGAACTTGTTTTTTCTTGGTTTCGCACACGCTCCCTGCATTAAAACGAGACGTTCCAGGCGTCTCCATTGGCAATCAAAGCACCTGATTTTTAGGATGTGTGAACTGTGGTAGCCACAACTGGAGAGCATTATTTCAACATTGGGTGTGGCCAAACCTAGACTAGAGGAAAAGACAGGTCCAAACGACACAAACGAAACAAACACTAAGCCATGCTTGCATCTGAAATATGTTCCAAATCTTGTTTAAAAAATAAATCTTCTTCGAAGCCCCCATCGTTTTGGAGCGGGAGGTGCGTCCAAAGCTGCAACATTGATTTTGCAAAGTTCAAGGGCCCACAATTCTTGTGTTTTCTAAAGTTGGAAGAAGAAGCAGAACATGCAAATTACTGGAATGCAAACCACATGTCTTAACACCGGATGTCACACAGGTCCGGCCGACCCCAGGCGGTTTGGGCACTGCTACATATCTTGAAAGGGTGGGCGGGGCCCATTCATGAAGATTTGCAAGCAGAATTGTGTGAAGCTCCCTCACAGAAAGGGCTTTACAGGGGTGGAGACATGGAAATAGCGTCCCAGCAATCATTGAATCAAAGCAAAAAACATGCACAGCAATGAAGATCTGAGTTTCAAGCGTTGAAAGATCGCAAAGCTGGAAGCAACCCTCTTCGAACGCTAACATCAGGCGAAACCCGCACTTGTGCATCCTCACAAGCAAAAAGGACAGGTTTCAAACCGTGCAGCCACACTTTTTCACAAACACGTAGAAAAACACTGCTGCAGTTCCAGCTGAGGCTGGCACTCCAAGGTGCAGTTCCCGGAGCTTTTTGCAGCAACCCCACCGCAAGTCCTCCAGGTTCCCAGACACCGCGGTGCTGGACAAGTCGGCCTCCTCCAGGCTGGGCATGCTGCTGATGACGCCGAAATCCCCATGGACTCGGGACTGTGCCAGGGAAAGGTCATAGAGCTTAGTCATGTTCGTTAGCACCGATACATCGCCCACGACCTGAGTCCGCGAAAGGTCAAGGTGCCGGAGTTCTTTCAGCTTCGATAGCTCCGCAACGTTGCCCGACACCTGGGTGTGGGGAAGTCGAAGGTCTTCGAGAGCCGTGAGCTTCGACAGCTCCGCGAGATCGCCCATGACCTCTGTCTGTGAAAGGTCAAGGCGAAAGAGATTCAGCTTCGATAGCTCTGCGACGTTGCCTGACACCTGGGTGTGGGGAAGTCGAAGCTGTGTGAGAGCCGTGAGCTTCGACAGCTCTGCAAGATCGCCCATGACCTCTGTATGCGAAAGGTCAAGTTTGCAGAGTCCTTTCAGCTTCGCCAGCTCAGAGACATTGCCAGTGATCTGGCTGCCTGCAAGCTCCAGAACTCCCAGATCCGTCATCTCCTTCACCGAACTCAAACCTCCGGTGGCGTCGCTGCTCCGGATGGAGCGTAGAGTGCAGTTGTTGTAGCACCAAATGCCATGGATTGCCTTCTCCCAAGAGACCCAGGCCCTGCAGCTGCCCTCGCAGCTTCTCCTGCACTTCTTCAGGGCACTCCAGCCACGCCGGCACCTCAGCAGCCACCCCGTGAACTGGACGAAAACCTTGCCATGACATTTTGGCGGATCTACAAGATTTATCAAGGCGGATCTACAAGATTGATCAAGATTTCATAGTCATCTTCCACCATTCCAAATGGGTTGATGGTGGATTGTTCACTTCAAGAAGTCTCGCTTTAATGTTCGCTTTTCAGGTCTGGATTCCGAGGCACGATGGGACACAAAGATTTGGAGCTTCAAAATCCATCAACTTTCCATGCTGCCTGAAACACACTCTGACAACCTCGCCTCGTTGCTCTCCAAAAGAAGCGAAGCTCTATGCCCCAAGTCCTTGCTCGAGCTCGCGTGGATGGCTGATCAACCATGCGAGCATGTATCAAAATTGGAAGCCGGGAAGAGCATAAGATTCCTTTTTGTTGCACTGCAGAAGAGATTTTCTGGACTGAGGACCTGCAGGTGGGTTTCATCTTTCTCTACCGTGTTCATAGTCTTGTGGCAACTCTGAACTTTCCCACGCATTTTACCCAACTCAATTGCTGCCCGGGCCTCCTCATCAATGGATGGCCGGACAGCAGCGCACAGAAACCATAGCTGTGCAAATATGAAAGGTATTGGGCTCACGCCCATTATATTTTTTCAAAACACCAACATTTTGAGCCAATCTTTGGCTGCGCGCAACACTTTGAGGCCACATTGAAAATGCCAATGTTCACACAGATGTCTATTCTGCACTCAAACTTCCGAATACCCAGGTCTTTATCGCATGATATCAAGTGTGGCAATGTCGTCCGCCACAACTGGCAGGTTTCGACCATTTTTGTCGCATTTCGCCAGAATCGATTTTGCCACGACCGAGCAGCGGTCACCGAGGAAATACGGCCAAATTGCCATTTTTCACAAATCATTGGCATTCATTTGCCAATCTCGAAGCTGAAGGATGATCCATTCATATCCATTCATATTCACAGGAAGTTCTGGTCCCTCAAGTGCTGCCCAGAATTCAGAGCTACTGCGGGCAGCCCGTCAGAGCCAAGAACGACATTTTGCCTGGCAGAAGTCTGAGAGCAATGCAACCTCCCACCAGACCAACTGGTGGCACAAGCCTTTCCTGGCAGCACGTGTTTGTTTCCGAAAAAAGAGTTTCCATGTTTGGACCATGTTCCAAAAAGGTCGACATGCTGCGCAAGTTTCTGGATAGAATTATGTGCAATTTAATGATATGTTTCAAGGCAATGCCATGGAAGTTGCATCTAGTGAAGACTCGTATGCCTAAACCAGGAGGATTTTCGACCGAAAAGGTCCAACAAAGCTAAAAATAAGTCGTTGTTTTCCACTTTTGCTGGCCATATTGATATGCCATCATCATCTCCAATGGTTTACGGTGCCAAAAATGACCCATCCATCTCTCATTCGCAGGCTGCTGTCCCAAATTCTTGAGGGCATATTTTTCCCCAAGGGGTTTGGCCTCCGGATGGTGCTTCCAAGATGTTCCATGGCAATGCCTGGCGAAAACAAACCCATTGGGCCCTTCAGGGGCCCCAGAATTTGGTCATCTAAACAACTGGCGATAAGATGCAATAAGATGCAATAAGAACATATCTTGCTCTCGATATACAACATTCCAGTTGTATGGTCCAACTCACGACAAAGATGGTTGAAACGAAAAACTAACAAAGTTGCAGGGATGAGAAAAAAACTCACAGAGAAGTGGTAGTTGGCTGTTTGCATAAGTGAGCCTTGCAATATTCTCACATGTTTGAAACACAATATGTCCGTTATCCATCGATGCTCAAACACCAAAATTACAGGAACTCATGCACACATGAGTCACATGATAAATCCGCCCACACCGCTTTGGCGGTGAAGGCGTGCTTATTGGGGGGCAACAGCAACACTAAATGCTCAATGACATTTGTTAATATAGCAGTCGCTATATCAGCTTTAGCTGGGGGGGGGGCCAAAAACGGTTTCGCACCGAGACCAGAATACGGTGGTGTTTTCGACATTTTTCGAGGATTTTTGGGTGTCTGAGCGCAAGAGGGTATTGAAATGGAATTTTGGGTCATTTTGGTAGCTTTCCGGCAATGGAAAAACGGCCAAAAATGAAAAAAACATTGTACATAGCAAGATTTTGCAGGGTTTTTGGATGCCAGAGCATTGAAAACACTGCAAAAACAAGTGTTTTGGACTGACGTTATAGCAAAAAACGTGTAAATTACCGTATGCTTGACTGGAAACATTACAAAAACACTGTCAAAAGCAATGTTTTGGAAGGATTTACTGCCTTTATGGCAAAAAACGTGTAAATTACCGTCTGTTTGACTGGAAACATTGGAAAAACACTGTCAAAAACAATGTTTTGGAAGGATTTCTTATATATATGTTGGAGTTGGCTACCGGCATTGGCACATGGAAAAATTGAAGAAAACACTGTAAATAGCGGTATTTTCAACGGTTGGGGAGATAAGGGACTTGGAAGCATTGTCGAACATGATGTTTTCGACCGGTTTTATGGCGACAAAAGTGTAAAGTACCGTGCTTTGAAGGAAACCATTGCAAAAACATGGAAACACATTCAAAGAACACGGGATTTGGGGGACTATCTAGGCGTCGTTGTCTAGCTATTTGAAATTCCGCAGCTTGGAGAGCCTCCAAGGGAGGGAAAAGTGAAAATTCCATAGCTTGGGAAGCTGTCACGGCGGGGAAAAGTGAAAATTCCCTAGCTTGGGAGCCCCCACGGGGGGAAAAGTGAAAATTCCCTAGCTTGGGGAGCCCCCACGGGGGGAAAAGTGAAAATTCCCTAGCTTGGGGAGCCCCCACGGGGGGGAAAAGTGAAAATTCCCTAGCTTGGGGAGCCCCCACGCAAGGGAAAAGTGAAAATTCCCTAGCTTGGGGAGCCCCCACGGGGGGGGAAAGTGAAAATTCTTAGCTTGGGGAGCCCCCACGGGGGAAAACCACCCTTAGCCCCTCTCACGGACCGAAATAAACTTGCGGTGTGGGCGGCCACCCCACGCGAAGCGGGGTGAATAACTGCTGAGATCCAAACGGTTGAAAACATTCATGGAACACGTAATGCCTTGTGTTTTTGTTGCCATCGGATCGAAAGATTGGATCCCAAAGAGCTTCATCACCCGGATGGAACAACCCGTCACCGACTACAATACTACAATGACCCCTGCTCGGCCTGGGGGCGGCCACTCCAGCTAATTCAGACCCTCATGGATCGGCTACTGCTGTGAACATGAACCAATCGGCAAAATGCATGGATTGATGCATCCTCACCAAGACTGTTGGTCAACAACTGCAACAAGCTGCCATGCGACAGAGCTGCCACGACTTTTTTCCATTGCAAGACGAAAGGTTCCAGTTTCATCCGTGAAGATCTGCCTGCGGAAGGAAGATGAAGGAAGCATGTCTGTTCTCTGGGGCTATGTCATTTTGACAGTCATCAACTAGTCGACTCATGTTGGCTCCCTGACCTACCATGTCCGCCGAGCCCTTCTGGAAAAGTCACCAGAGAATCAAATTTAGTGCCACGCCTGCGAGGTCCGTTGGATCCTTACGTAAACTGCTCAGCGCTGACTTCTACGGGTCCCTCGTGGATCTTGGCCTCCAACTCCTCTGGCGAATTGCTGAGTGCTTTCTTCCCAAGGTCAGCGCCACAAATGCTGGAAGGATCTGAAGAAAGTCATGAAGTTGAGGTGAGCCCCCAATTTATGAAGAAAATCACCAAAAAGTATGGCAAGTAGGGTGATTTTCGGGCCATCAGGTTTGATCATTTCAGACCGCAAAATATCCAAGCATATTCCAAGCATTTGCTGCTGGAATCTTGTTTGTTTCTCCAGATGGACCTTCGCAACCTGGCCCATCTCCAGCAACCTGCTTCGATAACTCATGTGACTCATAGATCGCATGGCTTGTGCCCGGGGTGTCTGGGCCTCTGGGCTGGGGATTTACATGGATTTACTGGGTCCCAAGTCCAACACGAGCACCTGGGTGGGTCAAGTCATGGACGAGATTCTAAGACGTGATTCGCTTTGCAAATTAAACAATAAAACTCCAAGCGTGAACAGCCTTCGTAGACCTAGTAGATTCCGAATAGTTTGGCCAGTCAATACTATTCAATACTGAATTTCTCAATATGGAAAGGATTGAATGGCCAAACTCTATGACTCTATTCTGAATTATGAAGAATTGTGAACTGCCTAATTTCTCTCGTTTAGGCCAAGCCAAGTGTAGTTCTGTACCTCACCGAGTAGCTCAGACTACACTTCATGCAGGCAATCGTCTACAACATAGATAATTAATGATAATTATATAATAATCACATGAGGTCTTTTGTCTATGAGTCTATGAGCGAATTTCCAGACTTCCCGTCCAAGAATTTCCAGCTGGCCATAGCTGCCATGGCTCAAACTTGGGTTCTTGTGGGCGCTCCCACCAATGTGGCCATTCATGGCATTGATCCATCCATTTGAGGAGAAAAATTGAGTCCCCATCAAGTGATGAGGGTGGCATTGAAATGTCAAATGTTGGGCATCCAACTTGGTATTGAAACCTGGCTCAAAAAGGTAAGTCAACCAAATCAATCTCTGAGCAACAGCCAACCTTAAAGCTAAACCTTGCACTGCGTCTCCTGCTGCAGCCTCAATGCCAGCATCTCGGGTGAATCCGGCCGCCGCAGCTGCAGCACCAGCAGCACGAAGGGCACCGCCAGCGCCAGCCGCGCCAGGGCCATGTGGTGCCGGAAGCCGACGGCTGCCAGGGCTAGGCCTCCGAAAATGCCGGTGGATGGGAAACGGGACTATCTTTTTGGGGACCCCGAAACTCTTCGCAGCGCAACTTGCATGTGGGATCAATTCAGAGATCAAAAGGCTTCCGGTTTGCAATAGCTTTGATTCCCAAAAAGGATTGAGACCTTGAATGTGGGTCTTTTGAGATGTCCAACGGGTACAGTGTCCATTGCGACTCTTGATAAAGAAACAAACGCTGGCACCAGCCGTTCCCACGAAATCTTCAAAGGTCGGAACCGAACTTGGGGTCCAGAACCCATCACCAGGGTTCCCCATGCACGGCTAGGCACATGCGAAGCAGGCGCTCTGCAGGACATTCATCTGCGGCTGAGCAAAGGGCTGCGTGAGGCCGGTGACCAGCGCCATGCCCAAGGTGATAGCCACGCAGAGCCAAAGGTTGTCCACAGCCACCACCTGAGACTTTGACTGCACTGCATGGTTGATGTCTAACAATGATGCGGAAGAAGCTCGATGAAACCAGGGACCATGGATTTCCTGCATCGGAACAGGAGTTTTATCCCAGCCCCACCCATGAAACTCTCCAAGGCACCGAGACCAAGGCCGCTGCAGCCACCTTCGTGCACACCTCCATCCAAACGTTTTCGCATTTGGCCTCAGCGACGCTTGAGGGTGTCCAGTGGGGCATCTGTCGGTCGGAAGGGACAACACCCCTTCATTGTTGCATGGCAGCCGGCGGCCATCCCAACTGAACGGACTGAAATGCAACGGAGCGGCATATTTGCAAAACAGCTGCTTTGCACCCAGTATAAAACCTCAGGCAAAGTATCTGATCAACGACAAAGATGCCAACGCGATGTTAGTTCTTTTTTCGGCATCTGCGACTTAGCTGGGACCAAGAAAAACATCTCAGGGAATCGCATGAGTATGAAATATGAAACAAGAATTCATTGGAGTGGGGTTCCAGACTTGAGAACATCATGCCTACACATATGCAATTTACCGCAGCGCATCACCTACTTGCACTGATGCTCTGCACATAGTGTCGCATGACCCAAAGGCCGATACGTCCGACACGCTTGCAGAAAAATTACGAGGCAAGAAGGACAGTGCCTCTGGGTTCAGGAGTACGTAGCTCTCAAGAGACACCCAACATATTCTTAAAGTTTGTTTTGGAGGGTTCCTAAAATGGGGGTAACCCGGTACTCCAATCATCCAAAATTAGACCATTTTAGTATTGAAACACATTGGAACCCATTGTTTTGGGGATCCCAGATTTTAAGAAACCCCCATTTCCCAAAAGCTTCAAGGCCATCTATGGAAAACACATTTGTTAACGAGCCACGATCAGTTTCCTCCTCCAGAATTCTCCGTTCCATCAGCATCTGCACCATCATGTGCCGTTGCAACACCTCTGCATCTTCCAAATCAGTGCCGAAGACCAGGCTCTCTACCTGAGGAAGCGAACGCGGGCCGCACATCACCAAAACTGGCATGTAACCCGGTTCGGGAAACATGAAGGAACCTTGTCATGCCCATCACGCCCGCGGTCCAAACTTATTGTTGGGACCTGTCAAGACATGCAGATTTGGCATGTCCTTTCTATTCAGCTTTAATTATTCAGCTAGCCAATTTTCAGGCACCCGATTTTATTGAAAAATTTGCCGAACCAAACAGTCGCTTAGTCGATGGCAAAAGGCTGAACAAAACCCACTTGACATTTGGTTCCGGCTCACAGTTCCACGGCTGAACCGTGGAACCGCGGGCCATGGTTCCGGCTCACAGTTCCACGGCTGAACCCTGGAACCGCGGGCCACGGTTCGCGGTTCCACGGTTCAGGCCATGGTTCCGGCTCACAGTTCCACGGCTGAACCGTGGAACCGCGGGCCATGGTTCCGGCTCACAGTTCCACGGCTGAACCGTGGAACCGCGGGCCACGGTTCCGGCTCACAGTTCCACGGCTGAACCGTGGAACCGCGGGCCATGGTTCCGGCTCACGGTTCCACGGCTGAACCGTGGAACCGCGGGCCACGGTTCCGGCTCACAGTTCCACGGCTGAACCGTGGAACCGCGGGCCATGGTTCCGGCTCACGGTTCCACGGCTGAACCGTGGAACCGCGGGCCACGGTTCCGGCTCACAGTTCCACGGCTGAACCGTGGAAACGTGAGCCGTGGCACTGGAACCGTGGAAACCGTACGGTTTCCATCGCCGCCCTTCTCAAACTTTGGATCCTCTGATCGGGAGCAGGAAAAGACACGTGAGAAACACCTTCCGCAGGAAGACGAGCCAACTGAATCCACCAGCTGATTGGTTAGAATCCCAACTTTTTGCGTCAACTCTGCATGAAAAATCAACCCTTTGGCCAAGCATCGTCGCGTCCTTCTGCAATTCCACGGTCGCACGACCTTTCACATGCACTGCAACATAGGCTGCTGCCGCGGCCTTTAGGTGCTGGGCCAAGGCATCCTGCACCAAATCTTGAGATGCGAGGTGAAGCCTTTCTTTATTACCAGAAATACTTGAACACATAACATCATCTTTGGATATTTTTGGTAGGATTCTGAATCCATCTGGTGATACTTTTCAGCCTTTGCACGCTTTGCCCAGCTGACCGCCGACTCCATAAGGTCCTTTTCGGATTCTTCACTTTTCGGACCTTGCAGCCGCACTGTGACCTTTGCTTCGTTACCTGCAGTTTGCATGACCACTGTCTTGACCTTTCGCATGACCACATTTTGCTTGGCGAACAGAAACCCCAGGAAGCAGGGAATGAAGAAGCCGTAGCAAATGGCGGTGGCCCAGCCAACTCTATCCACCTCAGCGGCATGAACGCCAGCTGTCTTCTGACAGGTGCTCTAACGATCTGTTTTGCACGAATTTCCGCCGGTTGGATGACATTTCAAGCTGAGCCTCCGACCCAAATGGCTTCTTCACAGCGTTCGTGTGGAAAAAGTGGGCGGAAGGCAAACTCCTTCAATGCTGTGCCTGAGACAGTGCAAGCCGAGCAGATGCACCGCAACAATTTGAGTTGACCCTGTCGAATGAATCTGATGAAAGCCTGGAAGCTCCAACATTGAAACTGGAAATCAACTGTGGCAATGAAACGGCCTGCACCATCTGTCCGCTGGCAGCCTAAAAGCTGCGCACTGCCAGAGGCACCACCAATGAAAAGCACCGTGAGCATCTTCAGCCCAACGCGGATGCCTGAAGAATTGGACTTCGATCATTGGAAATTCGGAATTCAAGTTGCAACTTGCAAAGGCGTCTCTGTTTGAACTCCTCCAATGTCACAGTGTGAGAAGAAAATGATTTGCGCTCAAGGACTGCCAGTTGCATTGGATTGATGGGGGGGCCACGAGGGGTTCCAATTTGCCTTGGTCTTGCAGCAAGCCGCAGCAATCAACTGCAACGAAGTCACCCAATCCGCGTGAGAAAACTTCCACGCAGCCACAGGCGATCAGCAGCAGCAAAGGAACCAGCGGCGTAGCAATGGCAAACATCGAACGAACGGTGGCGCCGTCCTCAAAGTGGACAAGTTGCTACACCCGCAGAAACCAAAAATGTTCTCTTCAGATCTGTGCTCTCATCCCCTTGAAGGCCTAATGCCCATGGAGTTTGAAAGGTCAGTCTCCTCAACTCAGCCAAGCATCATAAAAGCACTGCAGAGCCAAGAAGTTTTGCACTTCAGAGCTGGTGAATTGCAAAGCTTCCAGGTATCCAAGCAGTGGATCGCCTCTGCCGTGCGCACGCTGCGCTAGAGGGATGATGCAGGATCTGATATTCAACAACAAATTGAAAAACCCTCGGAACGCTCTTTCTCCCTCTTTAGAGGTGTCAAACATGATTTTTTCATCCCCCTTTGAATCAAGTAAAAGGGTGGGTGTCACGACTCTTTAGTGGACGGGGGGGGGCTAGAAGTGGGACATCTATAGAATAGAACCCCAAGCTCTAAAGAATGGAGGGCCTGGACGACCAAATCATAACCAATCTCTAAAAAATGGAACCCCATCTCTAGGGTCCTACAAAGAGAGACATGTCTATAAAATGGAGGAACCAGCGATTGGCTTGAAAAGTGCTTAATATTATGTTTTTCCCTCATTTTCCCCAAAAAAATGGTAAACAGAGAAGTTGTAAAATTATGTGAAAATCTTGTTTATGTTGTAGGCTCTGGGAATATCATTCTTTAGAGATTTTCTTAATATTCTGGTCGAGCTTGAAAACTTTCAAAGTTCCATTCTTTGGAGTTTTTGGGTCCGTTCAACAACACCAACCAGTGCCTATGGGTTCCATTCTATAGTGATTTGATGCTTATTTTTTGTATATATTTTATAATATGATATTGTAATATATGATATTGTAATATACTATATGTATATATATATATTGTTTTTATTTTGCTTGGATACACGGCTGCACAACACAGACAACGAACCGTTCACTTGTCAACTACTGATCAAAATCATGCAGATCCTGACAAATGTCTCAACGAAAGGCGGCAGCTGCAACCCTTGTTTTCAGTGGGGTTTAGGTCTCGGCTGGTCGCGCCGTGGCTCCTGGGTAGGCCACGGTCTCAATAGACCAGTACAAAATAGAATTGAAGTGACTCAGGCCATAGAGTCTGGACGCAAAATTGAGTGGAGTCCAGGTCAAGCAAAATCCACACTGAGCTGTGGAAGTCTGCCGTTTGTGCGGATATACGTCTCAATGGCCCGGCAAACATCCAAAAGTTGCGCTGCGAGGATGAACTGGAGATTGGTCTGTAACTGACGAATCTGTGTTCGGATTTGGAAGAAAGTGTCTTCATGTGGTACCTCATGTTCGTCTAAATAGTCAGACACATCAGTGATCATGTCCTCGGCGGAAGACAGCTGTTGGATGAAGCGTTGAGTCACAAACACTTGATGGAACATGGATTGGAGCGATTGCTCGGCCATGGCAGTCAGTGAAGAGAAATTTTGGAAAAGTCCAAAGGAAACGACACTGGTCGGATCAGTTTGGGATGATGTGGGTGGAGATGGGTGGGTCGAAAAATTAAATCTGCGTGTTGTTGACATGTTGTTGACATTAAATTGATCACTGATGCATATCAAAATGAAATCTATCCAACATGTCAAACAAAACACATGTAACCTCTGGCACTTGCCAAAAGGTCGCTTCACTTGAAGCTTTGATCAAATGGCAGCAGTCGTTGTGTTCTGATGTGTGTGCAGTCGTTCATGAAAGATTCACTCCATGTCTCTTACAAAATAAGGTGGTATCATGTTCCATGAGACTCAACTTATTTTGCTTGGATACACGGCTGCACAACACAGACAACGAACCGTTCACTTGTCAACTACTGATCAAAATCATGCAGATCCTGACAAATGTCTCAACGAAAGGCGGCAGCTGCAACCCTTGTTTTCAGTGGGGTTTAGGTCTCGGCTGGTCGCGCCGTCACCCCAGGGAGATGGACAGCCCTTTCCAGGTCGCTTCTGGATTGACTTCAGTCTTTGCCATCCCATGCCACATGGCAACCACCTGTCGAGAAAAATAATCTGAAGGATTGGATTGGCTCGGAACTCTCTCAAGCCAAATTTGGCACCCAAATTTCTCCTCGACAGTGAACACTCGTTCCAGCAACGTATTATTATTTTCATTCATGGACCAAGACTTCAAGAAACTGTGTCTGACGGATTCGCTGTCCGTGAATGCAACAAACCTGTGATGGTTCCACTTCGGGCACCACATCTCTGTCGCAGTCACCAAGGCCAGCATTTCAAGTTCTTGAATAATGGTCACTTGACCATCTTGCTTGATCGCATTGATGAGGTCACTTGACACCTCCTCACTGAAGAAACCCAACATGTTTCCGTATTCATCATACACAACCCCTCCTATTCCACTATAACCTCTATCATCATAAGATGCGCCAACGTAAAAATGGAGGTGACTGGAGAGTTGACCTTTAATCCTGCGAGGCAGGTTTTGGGTTAAGATTGTACGGATGTTTTTGAGGGCGACTACAGTTTCGTCGTTCAGTCCTTTGCAATTGCTCTGGACATGTTTTGACAACTTTCTTACCAAATTTCTGGCCTTTCTTCCAAAGAGTTGCCCACTGGCAAACAGAAGGCGCCCTCTGAGTTTCTCGCCGTCTCCACGTGTAAGAGAACCGGCATTCAGGACTTCATCCAAAACTTCACACAACTCTTTTACCCTATCACTGGTGTTGGTAACCACTGACAGCCCTTCGCCTGACATCTTAAAGTCAAATTGAACGCCCAGCACTTTGCACACTGAGTCGAAGGGCAACAATTTGTCTGAGGAGAGCTCCCATCCTAAGATGCTGAAGAAAGATACAATTATCATTTCTGAGTGTTTGCTAAGGGCTGCCTCGGTGATGGAGAAAAAGTCATCGAAATATGATGACCAGAGCAAGTGAAGCAACTTGGAGCCAAGCTTCCACAAGGCATGTGAAATCCTGAGAAAAGCGGTCACAGACGCTATTGAGCCAAATGGTAAGACTCTTTGTTGGAATATTTCTGCCTTACCCATGGTCGGGTTATACACTGCCAGAAAAGAGTCGACTGCGTAGGCGGCATCGCTAAGGGGCACTTGTTTGTATGCATGCGCCAAATCCCAAGTTTTGGCCTTCAAGTCTACTCTGCTGTTCCTGGCTTCTGCCTCTCTGAGAACACAGGCAACCAGGGCTGCTATATGGTCCATGGTGTGAACGGTGGCGCTCTCGGTTTGAGTAACGCTGGCATTCACCAGAGATGCTTTGTAGTCATCAATCGGTCTGGTCTTGTTTTTCTGCTTGACGCCAAACCGTCGAGTGAGTGTTGCGCCGGCGGGAAGGTCTGTCAAGTGCACTGGGCCTACAAGAAAACCTTTCTGTACCTCCTTCATAGTGGCTTCATACAGTTGACGGTCCAGTTCTGCGTCGCCAGAAGGTTTGACGGTTTGGACCATGCCCTCCCTGCTCAAGTCGGCCACTTTCCTGAGCTCTTGACAAGATATCGCGGCAGGTCGGACGTTCTTGGAAAACACCTTCGACTCTGGCAACATACCGGTGAGATCAAAACCTTCCGTCAAGTCTTTGATCAAATCAAAATCTGAATGTCCAGCATCGCGCAACAGTCTTTCCATCAGCAAAAGCCTCTTGCCCTGCAGAATCTCTCTCCTGCGACATGACATCTGTGACTTAAGCTCCTTTTCAGCCGGAGACAACTCGGCTGCTAGCTGGATCCAACGTTTAATTTCTTCTGTCCTTTCCGCGGCCAACGTGCCTCCGGATTTGTCGAAGACATGGCTCACCACCTCCCTCATCTCGTCTGGGAACATGGAATGGATTCGGGTTGGGTGACCTAAGAGCAATGCTTCAGACACAAATTCTTCAGGAGTCCTGTGAATGCCAAAAGAGACTAATTGAGCACTCGTGTCTGTCCCCTGAGAAGGAGTGCTTAAAGGCCTGGAATTAGGGGGTTTAGGGTCTGTATTGGAACATTGGAGGACGGCTTTAAATTCAGACACCATTGGTGGGAGACCGCGTCGAGGTTGCAAATCTGTGGCGGCTCGCAAAGTGTTCAGTGAAGCCTCTTGCAGTGCAAACACTGGAGCGGAACATTTAAAACCGTCTTGCTGCAATTGCAGAAGCAATTTGGCTCCCATGGACCGGCACAGGTCCCATGGGTAAGCGGTTTCTTCGGCAGTGTTCCAATGCCCATTTGGATTCTGGCCCCACGGTTCGTGGGCGTGGTCATTCTGGCAGTAGGCTTCTAGAGTTTGAAAAGTGGGTATGTTATGCCAAAAACGTGTCAACTTTCTCCTTGAGCTTCCATAGCGACAATGATGGAACATGACTTGGTGGCACGGGTGTGCTTGCAAAATGTCACGAAACGGGTCTGTGTCCCACATGAAAGATCGGCCGGGGTTTTCGACTGCGAAGTAAGTATCATGTTCAATGCACCACTTTACAAGGTCACAAGTTACTGCATAAAGGGCATTAGCAGCTAAGACTCTGGCTAGCAAGGTTCCGGAGAGACCTGGAATCCCGTTGGGATGAGTTTCGGTGCGTAAAATTGGAGGATTGTATCTGCCACGCCGTTGGATCAAACGAGCCCTGGAGCTAGTACCGCAAGGCGGGGCAAAATGGACAAAAATGCACTCAGGCTTGGCGATCAAAGATTTCACAATGTCGACATGTTCTGAATTAAGCAGGTCGTACTTGACAATGGGGCTTTGCAATTTAGGAGGTAGCTTTAGGTCCACTCCAAAACTGTTTCTGAGGCCTAAGGATTTGAGGGCTGCCGTGAGGCGCCCTGTGCCTGCGAAAATTTCTATGCAGAAAAACTCTTGGATCGGGCGATCCTTGGCTATATCTGGTTTACTCAAGTTACTTCGAACTGATTCATCAGGGCCCAAAATCGGACCGCCCGAGAGGGTTTGTCATCGATGTGACTGCATACTATGGGGTTTGAGGCACCCCGGCTCACTGCACACATGGAGGCCGCGGGGGCACTTTTCTCCTGGCTTGGCATCACGGCACCCCTGCTCCAAATTGAATGGCCAACAAAGCCGCTCTCCTTCAGGTGTCTGCAATGTTTTGTTGATAAGTTGTTTTGGAACATTGGGTCCTCGCCCTCTTTTTCCTCGTTTTCCTTTACCTTTGCCCTTCTGATTCTGGTCTGCCGCGGTGTTTCTGGGCGGTGATCGGGATCTCTTTCTGTCTGGCTTTGTCTTGGGCTTTGCTGCGGGCTTTTCAATGGATCCTTTTGCGGTTGGCAATGGTAGCAAATGGAACGAAACACTTGGCTGAGATAGCACTTTGGCCAATTGTGCATCCAATGGCAGGTTGCCACGTGGATCTCTTTTCAGTGTTGTCATCTGCTCCGACATCCAGAGAAAAGCTGCTCTGTCGGCTCGGAGCACTTGGGTGAGGCTTACGGATGAGTACCCCGGTGGGGGAGGCTGATGTAAGTAATCAAACAGATCCGCACAGTATGCATTGATGGCATGGAAAGAACACGCTTGTGCAATGTCAAAGGCCAGGGATCGTCTCTTCATGGCATTGACTGTCTCAAGTTCCGTGGTCGTGGAACACAGAAGATCTTGTGCCTTGTCTTTGATGACCAGCGAGGACTGGTCAATGGCCACTTCTTTGGCCGATTTCTTTTGCAAAAGCTCCTGTCGCCGGGTGGCGAACTTTTCTGGCCCTAAGTACAAGAGAATATCTTTTTCTAACATGCCCAAAACTGTGTCGTAACTCTGAAAACTGCACTCTTCCTCCCCTTTGAACCTGATGCCCTCCAAACGGGTCTTCTGGTCTTTGATTCTGTTCTCGCGCTCGGCAGGCGCCATTTTTGTCTTGATTTGATCATCTGTTTTATGCACCTTGTTCTGCAAGTCTGCGGACAAGAGAGTCTGCGCTTCAAAAATCAATCGCCTAATGGAGGCATAGGTTCCTTGATTTGGTACTACGGCCCCGCCGAAGATGGCATTGACCTGTTCGTCGGATGGGGATTCTCCCGGCTGGCAGGCTGCGAATGCCAGTCGTGCTAGTGAATCAACTCTGTTTCCTATCAGGGCGTCCACTTCAGCCTCTGTCAAATTCACTTCGAGGGCTCGCGCCCTGAGTGCTTCCTTCGACTCGAGGAGGGTGCCCATTGCCAATGAGAAAAGAACTAGCTCAGAGAAACCCTTTAAGTTGTCTGATGTCTTGCGCTTGACATCATAAATATTACCTTGGACATGTTATGTCAAAGAAATGCTGAACTTGTTAACCTGAAAAACCCATGCTCATATGCATCGAATTAGCGGCCACTTGGCCCTGGCTGCGGGTCACATGAAATCACGTACAGACATGCAAATCTGGCCCACTCGGGACACGACTCTTCAAAATCACGTGACACACTTGTGCCGAGTCTGGATTCCTGTGTTTCAAATGCCCACTCGGGTCATACAAAACACGAAAAACCGATTTGCACATTCCATGTCTGAGTTGTTCATGTGACTTTGTCAATTCATGTACATGTGTTGAAAAGAGACAATTACATCATCAAACTCAAACTGCCACTCTCTTTTCAACCTCGCTGGCGCAACTTCTTCAAGGCTGAGGCCATCTGACCCACCGTTTTGATGGGCCTTGCGGTAGCGCATCTCCTGCATCGTCTGATGTCAAGAAAAGCTGACTCTGTGATTTCTTGATAGTCGCTTGTGATTTGTATGCCACAACTGAAAGAAGCAGCTCCACCTGAAGCAACAACATGTACAATTTTACTTTTTCTGTTCTGATACATTGTTGTGTCTGGATCCCACTGGCGTGGTGCGGCAACTGCATCTAGACCGCCTACGTCATCTTCATCTGAACTAGTGCTTGATTCCTCAGAGTCAGACTCTGACGAAGACTCGGATGCTTCGTCTTGGCCGGATGTCTCAGGCTCTTGGATGGATGTGCTGCCCTGAAATGTATCCACTGGGTCTGCAACTTCTGCATTCTGAAGCATGCCGGAACGAGTGGCATCTGGGACGAAAGCCCTAGTCCTGATTTGTTGGAGCACGGCTTCGAATTCCCTCAGTGGCTTGGCTAAATTATCACGGCCGTAGCACTCGGCGGATGCTTTGCCTGTTGCGTGGTGTCCCAGCAGTTGCCGGTCATAAGGATCCACACCCCACTTGGTGCACCACGACAAAGGCGTGGCCTTCATCGTATGGATGGTGGTATACTCAGAGGAAGGGGCTAATGATCTCAGCATGTTTCTAAGCCACTTGCCGGCTTCCGTTGTTGTTACCGCCCTGTCTGTCCATTGGCCTTCAGGTGTAGGGGCAGCTAACATTGGTCCCATGTTGATTCCTGCCAAAGGTCTCTTGGCGCTTTCACACAATCTAAGGAATGTCAACCCCCAAGGAGGGGAGGTGACGCCCCAAATTGGTGCCACCAAAGGCATAGCTAAACCGCTTCTAGCCACCAATCGACCGGTCTTATGTGACCTTGTACGGCATTCGAGGTAGCCTGAAATTTTCCCGAAGTGTTCGGCTATGTCACTTTCGAAACCATACACTTTCTTCAAATCAGACCATCTACTCCTGCTGTACAAACAGAATAACATACAGCCACAAGCTACTCTGTCCACTATGCTGATTTGCTCGTCACTCAAGCAAGATTCCAATCGTTCTACTTCTGCCACAGTCAGAACTCGTGCCTGTTTCTTTTCACGTCTGTTGGCATCGGAGGCTTCAAGGATTCGCAACGCTTTTGGAGTAACTATGTTCTCTTCCCCTCCTACGTTGATTCCCAAGACATGTTGACAAAAATTGAGGGCTTCGACAAATCCATGCATAGCGGACGGGGGTCTGCCCTGCTTTCTCAAATCCAACAAGTATTCTTCCACGGAATCAGGCGTCGCTGGAAATGGTGACAAATGAAAATATCGTTCTTTGTACCACTTGAAGAAAGACAAAATGCTAACCCCCCTTCTCAAAATTGTGTTGGCGCTTCGGCCCCCAAACAAAATTTTCAAACTTCCAAGGTCATGTTCTCGGATCGTGTCTCTGAGATTGAAACCCCTTGGCCACGATTCCTCTGATGAAGAAAATATTGCATACCATCTTTCCAAGGCCTGTCTCTCAGATTTCTCATCAACTTCCTCTTGTGTCATGTTCACACTGAAGTTAATGACTTCACTGAAGGCTCCCCTTCGAGTCTTGCTCAGCGGCAACAGAGACTGACTCGAAGGTGGATCAACGGATGCGGAAGACAAGCTTGGGAAAGGCAAGACTGGCACGGGGATTAAAGACTTCTTATCCTTCTGCAGTATGTTGGAAATGCCTTTACGTTCCCATGGAAATTTGAACTTAAGAGATGGGCCTATCGCAAATGAACTGTCCCCAATCATGGCTCGGAGGTTGTGTTTTTCCACAGAGTTCAGATCTCCTACTGGCCCAGTTCGGTGTTGTTCACTGACCGAAGGCTCAACTTCAGAAAATTCGGCAGGTCCCCCCAAAAACGAGTCGGCTGAAAAATCAAAATCAACGGGTGCATCGTCCAGGGCCGGAAAATTGTCGATCCCTTCAGGCAGCGGGGCTCTGATGGACTCTGAATCGACGGATGCATCGTCTGTGTCATGAGGACCGGCTGTCCGGCTGGGCTTTGACTGCATCGAAACTTGCAGGAGGCCGCTCACTGTGCCCAATCAGTCGTCCGATGACCTCGTCCACCGACCCATACCAGTAACCAAATCGGATTCAAGGTCAGATGCACAGAAATCAAAATAAAAATGCACAAGGACTCAACGTTCTCAACGAACATGCATCAGACTCAAATCCTTTGTGAAAGGCATGGAAACGATTTGAGAAAAGGGCTCCGATCTCGAAATCTCATTCACCCGTGTCCTGAACGTGCCGAGAAAAATTAAACTCTGACTCTGCTCACATGAGCACTCACGTTCTTGATAGAAGCTCTCACATGAGAAGCTCACAGAAGAATGAGAGACAGAACATTGTTGTATCACTTGGACCATGCCTTACTCAAGGCGTCGTCAGCCCCTCACCTAAAGGAAGCGTGGTGACACATGTTCAACAAACTTTGTGAGTGGCACTCATGCGTGCGCTGTGGACACATGTCCATCAATTATGGCCTACGGGCCAAACGAAAAACCCTCTGAGGTCACAGCAATCTCCAGTGCACCTTCTGCACCGTCGGTGGTCAGACCTAGACCATTCAGGGTCAAATGGAAAGAGCATTCCACAACTGACACTCGTCAAGCTGTAGACTGTGCTCATGTCCAACCCCAAAGCTGAGACCGTCACTCGGCGGCAACTCAGCCTTGCATGACGCACTGAACATCCAGTCACTTGACCAGGGTGCTTGTCCTGGGTGTCGCGTCACTTGACGACTGAGGGCAGGACCCTTTCTCGAGAGGATTCCCGTCCCGCCCCTCATTCAAAATTTGCTCACTTGAGCCTTCCATGACATATAAATAATGGGCCATGCCACATTGATGCAATGTACTCTGAGCTGACGTGCGCATTGCTCTCTGGAAAATCTTTGGGTTATTCTATGAAAGATAATACACAGAAACGAAATCACCATTTCTAACCTGCAATAAAGCTGCGCCAACCCCCCGAGAAAAGAAAGCTTTTTGACATACCTCAAAATGATGCAGAAGTGAAGCACGCGTAGCGTTGGGCACGCATAGCGCAAAAGCTCTCTAAATTGCATTGTTGACAGGCTCGTTGAGCATGAAAGGAAAAAGTCCATTGTCCATGAATGTCTGGCTACATAGGGTCGTCATTGTCTGGTGGTTGGGCTGGAAGTGGGTGTACCAGTCCTAGTAGCGGTGCCAGTTCCTCTCGCCAAGTTGCGAGGTTCTCCATTGACATCCCGAAACGGTTGCGCAGATCCATGAAATCGCGACGGAGAGATTCTAGCTCGATGCGAGTAGATCTCATCTCTCGGTACACACGGCACAAAAGCTCCACGACTTCAATATGACTGAGCAGGTGAAGCTCGACATGAACAACCTGGTTCTGATCAGGATCGAGTGAAGAGGACAGGGTGATCGAATGCTGGTGCCGACCTGAATGTTCCTGCATGCGTCCAAACAACTGCACATCTGTGACCAGTAAATGATATCTTGAGTCGGAACTGAGCTCGTCATCCCATGCAGTCCACTGACTCAAAGTGGATTCAAGACTGGGGCAGATTGTAAAACGCACGTCTGTCTTCAGTGGCATGATGTGTTCGCTGATGTCACACGCTGTTCCTGCGAACCCCAGATAGGGGAGGATGTGATCCAAATTGGGTACCGGTTGTTCAGGATCAAGTGAAAAAGTCACCGTTAAGGATGTCTGGGTCGCGGCCAAGTCTAAGACGGTGTGCGCTGCCATATCTAATCTTCTAAAGTCAAAAGCCAGTAGAAGATCGAGAAAGCTGTGAAGGCTGCACCAAAAAGTGTTCCACAAAAGCAGATGGAAAACTGGGAAAATTGAGTGTTCTGTAGGCCCAGATTGATGGGTGCAGAGAACGCAGCTCGTCCCTTCGCTATGGCAGAATGACGCGGCCGAATAGGCATCGAAAAATTAAATCTGCGTGTTGTTGACATGTTGTTGACATTAAATTGATCACTGATGCATATCAAAATGAAATCTATCCAACATGTCAAACAAAACACATGTAACCTTTGGCACTTGCCAAAAGGTCGCTTCACTTGAAGCTTTGATCAAATGGCAGCAGTCGTTGTGTTCTGATGTGTGTGTGCAGTCGTTCATGAAAGATTCACTCCATGTCTCTTACAAAATAAGGTGGTATCATGTTCCATGAGACTCAACATAATATGTCAGTGTTTCCGCACGTTTTTCTACAAAATGGAGGGCCCCAGCACATACCCCTTGATGTCATTGAACCAGTGAGCTCTATAAAATGGAGGACCTCAGTGATGTCATTAAACCAGTGAGCTCTAAAAAATGGAACTTCGTTTTTTTGGAAACACACAACCGATGTCTAAAGAATGGGAAATCGAAAATGTAGAGGTGATCCCGGTTGATAACCCTGAACTCTATAGAATGGAGCCTCCAGCTTCCACCAGATGAGGTCAAATAGCGACCAGTACTCTTCCAAAGAATGCAAGTGGTCAAAGATGGAAAACCCTAAAACATCTAAAACCCAAATCTCTAAAGAATCATGGGGTCCTGGACGTCCTGGACCACCATTTCCCAGAGGAGATTCCAAGGGGAATATTTTGTCTGATTTTTGTCTCCAATCATTTTCTGTGAGGATTAATGTTCCACGGCTCATTGGCTCTTGGACCTGACAAAACACTGGCAAGATCCCCAACCAAAGTTTCTGATAAAACACAATCCTTGAAGGGTGGATGAAAACTTGGGTGTCCTGGGAATACCCAAAATATGATCTTGAGCCATTCGTACTACCCGTATGGCATGGGTTGAAAATCGGTGGTCAATAGACCTACAATAGACCTACAATAGACCTACAAATTTGGTCATGTTTGGTCTTGACATGAATCAAAATGTCCATTGTGACAATGAGCGTAATTTTACCCATACCAATATTGGGGTGGTTTAGTTATTTTAGTTTGTTCTGCTCTTCCTGTATCCTGCTTTTCACTGATTCAAACATCTGATGATCTAAAAACTGGTCGACACCATGCCAAAGCAATGGGTCGCAACACAAGAACAGAAACAGAACTATTATCTAGAAACTTGTCTGGGGCCACAGAAAGATCCACTGCCAAGACTCTTTGCGAGTTGTCGTCCTCTGTGACGTTTGCCGCGTCTGCGACATTTGCCGCTGGGTCCACCGCAGGCGTCAAAGCGCCGAGCACCGTCCAGAGCTGCGTCAGCTGCAGCAGCGCTGCTAGCTGCGCTATGATCAGCTGCAGGAGGCACTCGCTGCGAGGGCTCAGCTGTGGCACGTGGCGCCTACAGGTCGCAGAGCATCAACTGGAGACACGTTTTATCATTTTTTCAGACTTGGACTTATCTCAAATTCTTGTTCTTCTGAGCTCATCCTGAAAACACACATCATCAGGAAATTCAACAAACAGTAGCAAGGCAACGCACATGATGTACGATGATGTACGATGATGTACGATGACGTACGATGATGTACGATGATGTACGAGCTACGATGATGTACGATGATGTACGGTGTCGCAGGCCAGTAAGGTGGTTGAGTGTTGGCTCGGTGCCTCAGTATCCATGCTACGGCAGCCACTATCACCAGCATCATAGCGCAGCCCAATCCGATTGAAAGTCTCCTTGGTGCAGAGTGGCTGGTCAGGGTTCAACGAATGATGGCGTCTGGTATCTTTCGCACGTTTGGTATAGGTCAAGAGGTCAAGCTATTGAGCATGCGATACTTTGATGATGCAATGGGTGAAGGGAATCTGATGTCTTGAGATTCAAGCCACTTTTCTTTTGCATCAAAGGGTCGTCTCCAACGAAACGTTCTTGCATTCGACGCAAACGTTCTTGCTTGCACGATAGTCTTGTGCACATGCAGCGCACAGTACGCCAGCACGTCCTTGGAACGTCAGCAGGCAAAACAACAAAGAATCGAACCATGACTCGAACACAATTTGGACATCCACCCTGGGTTATTTGACTCTCGAAACACATTCCGTCCAACCCCTTCCCAGTCCTGGTGTACAGCTGGAGTTCCTGCAATGTTGACGATCAAGGCATTCGAAGATCTCTTCCGAAGGCTCCTTCAAGCGGATGTAGCCCTGCTCCAAGGGCGCTGTGGCTACGAGGCTTCCAGGTGCATTGCAAACCAGGTGCAGTTTGCCACAGGAGAGACATTCATGGTCATAACTGAGCGCTTCACCCCGGTCACATCGGCACATGGTCTTGTTCTCGAACGTTCCCGGCGTGCCATAGGGGCACTTGCAGGCCGAAAGGGCCTGAGATCCAGCTGGAGCCTTGCCGCCCTCAGGGCAGGCTTGACACTTCCTTTGATCCATCTGGTCGTTGAAAGTGTCTTCCGGACATGCTGAGCAGTTGGTGCCGGCACCAAAGTGACCTGGGCCACACGCACACATGAGCTGAGGCAAGAAGCGCTCTGGCGTGACACGAAAGTTGGGTTGTATGAGGTCATGGCACCAGTATCCACCGGTCTCCCTTGAGATCCACATCTCCTCCATTTGCAGCTCGTTGGAGCAATTCGACATGATGTCCTCCTTATTTGCCAGTTCTGTGTTCATCATCCAAAGGTCCGTCCCAGACTTGGCCGCAGACTTGATGACGTCCGGGTGCACGTGCAAAGGGATCTCATTGTGAGAGACATCCAGCCTCAACTTCGCCGGCAAGGCATCCACCGCATCCAAGCGATTCCCCGAGAGATCGAAGAGCTGCAGAGAGTGCCACAAAGACACGAACCAGTGGGATTTCACCTCACCCGTGATTCCACATCCCCTGGCAAGGAGGATTGTGATTGGATTCGAAAGCAGAGGAACGACCAGGTCGATGAAGCTGACGTTCAGGTTGCAACCACTCACCTTGCCATGAAATTCACTCTGTTTCTGATCAGACCGTTGAAAGGCCGAATGCGAAGACAGGTCGTGATTTAAATCAAACAAAATAAAAACCATGGAACACAAGAAGGGAGGAACTTGGAGATACGTTTGCCAGTAAAGCGGATGACAGGAGACAAGAAGCGAGGCACCGGGGGTAACCTTGCCAGAAGAGAGACACAGCATCCGACCGCGAAGCCCACCAATAAACTGTTCAGGAGAAACTCAATCTGTTGATATTTGTGTTGATTTTGCAAAACAAAGGGTTTTGCTATACGCCGGTGCATCATCGCACGAACACAGGATCAAGAAGGGAGACAAGAAGGAAGACAAAGTTGCCAAAGGCGGAGACAGCATCTAACAGCAATTCGGACACACTTGAGAAAGCATTGAAAACCCGCACAGCAAAAGTTAACTGTTTGGGGAATGATGCAAAGTTTACGTAAGCCGATCCCACAGTGGTTTTGTATGTTTTTGCTACATTTGTGGAAAGGGTAGCCTTGCGCAAAGTGCGAGCTTGCCAAATTGCAGTGTATGCAATTGTTTGAAGCTCCCGCCAAATGGGGGCCTTGAGTGGGTGGGGACAGTGTAAAAGCAGATTAGCAATCATTGAATCACAGCCAAAAAGTGCACAGCAACTTCTGCGGACTCAGGCACTCATGCAAAACTCTGAATAATCTAAGGTGCTGGCATTGAGGGATTGCAAAGCTGGGAGCGACACTAGACCACGACCAGAAAGCCGCACCTGTGTATCCTCACATGCAAAAAGGACAGGCTTCAAACTGTGCAGCCACACTTTTCAACAAACACGTAGAAAAAACCTGCTGCAGTTCCAACTGAGGCTGGCACTCCAAGGTGCAGTTCCCGGAGCTTTTTGCAGCAACCTTGTCGCAAGTCCTCGAGATTCCCAGACACCGCGGTGCCGGACAAGTCGGCCTTCACCAGGATGGGTATCCTGCTGATGACGCCGAAATTCCCATGGACTCGAGACTGTGCAAGGGAAAGGTCCTGGAGCTTAGTCATGTTCGTTAGCACCGATACATCGCCCATGACCTCTGTCTGTGAAAGGTCAAGTGTGAGGAGATCTTTCAGCTTCGACAGCTCTGCGAGGTCGCCCATGACCTCTGTCTGTGAAAGGTAAAGGTGCCAGAGGTTTTTCAGCTTCGATAGCTCAGAGACATTGCCTGTGATCCGGCTGCCTGCAAGGCCAAGACCTCGCAGATACGTCATCTCTTTGACGGAACTCAAATCTCCGGTGGCCTCCTCGCTCTCAATCCTCCGCACCTTGCATTTCCAGCACACAATGCCCTTCCAACGACATGGATCGCCTTCTCCCGAGAGACCCAGGCCCTGCAGCTGCCCTCGCAGCTTCTCCTGCACTTCTTCAGGGCACTCCCGCGCCTTGGCAACAGCCACAACCCCGTGCCACCGCCACTGACTTTTGCGGGGATCTACAAGATCTTCAAGATTTATCAAGCTTTGGAGCTCTTCAAATGACTGAAGTTCGTTCATCTTCGCAAACAAACCTTTTGCGCAAATTTCCATCAACTTGCCATGACGTACTCTAAAACACAACCTGACAATCTGTTCTTCGCCTCGTTGGTCTCCAACAGAAGCGAAGATCTATGCCCAAAGTCCTTGGTCGAGCTTGCGTGGATGGCTCAATGACCGTCTGCATGTGTCAAACTGTTGGATTAATTTGGTTGGTTTGTAATATTTTGTAATAGTTGGTGGTTCACTAGAAACCAACCAAATTTACGGTCTTTTCTTGTTCAACAAACAATTAGCCCAATACACTGCAAAAAACTTGTTGAACTGAGGACCTTCATGTGGGGTGACTCTTGACTTTCCCAAGCATTTTACCCAACTCAATTGCTGCCCGGGCCTCCTCATCAATGGATGGCCGGACAGCAGCGCACAGAAACCATAGCTGTGCAAATATGAAAGGCATTGGGCTTGCGCCCATGATATTTGTCAAAGCATCCACATTTTGAGCCAATCTTTGGCTGCGCGAACCACTTTGAGGCATTGAAAATGCCAATGTTCACATATCTTGCTATCAGGTCATATCTGGTCTGGCTCCAGGTCCACAGTGGCAAGTCCCAGGTCGATTTTCTTCGCGTTCCACCCATCCAGTCGTCGATTTTACTGCGTACAACCTAGCGGAGGTCACTAAGCACAAATCATTTGCTAATCTCCATGCTGAAGGATGATCCGTTTTAGTTGTTTGTTTCAAACAATCAAGCAACATGTTTGTAACAAATAGTATGTTTTGATGGGTTCTTGGAGGATTTGGAGGTCTCGCAATGTCAGGATATTCGCATGCACCTTCAGCATCAAGAGCAATTGCTCGTGGGCGAAGGTTCACAGACAAGAACGACAGCTTGCCTGGCAGCAGAAGTCTGAGAGCAATTCAGTTATAACCTCCCTAACCAGGCCAACAATCTTGGCTGCACAAGCCTTTCCTGGAAAATGTGGGTAGTCAACAGAGTCGCTGCAAGTTTATTCGGATAGATTCTGTTGCAATTTACTATAGGATGTTTCGAGGCAATGCCATAAAAAAGGCATCTGTTTAAAACCCAAAAACTTGTTGGCCTAAACCAGGAGGAACTCCAACTGCGCCAAAAAGAAACACCGGAATAAGAGATAGGAAACGCATCCTCATCTTCGACTGCATCTCTCATTCGCACGCTGCTGTCCCAAATTCTCAAGGGCTTTTTTTTCCCCCAAGGGGCTTGGCCTCCGGATGGTGCTTCCAAGATGTTCCATGGCAACGCCTCACGAAAACAAACCCATTGGGCCTTTCAGGGGCCTTGGAAGCTCCAGAATTTGGTCATCTAAACAACTGGCGATAAGATGCAATAAGATGCAATAAGATCAATAAGAACATGTCTTGCTCTCGATATACAAAATTCCAGTTGCATGGTCCAACTCACGACAAACATGGTTGAAACGGAAAACTAACAAAGTTGCAGGGATGAGAAAAAACTCACAGAGAAGTGGTAGTTGGCTGTTTGCATAAGTGAGCCTTGCAATATTCTCACATGTTTGAAACACAATATGTCCGTTATCCATCGATGCTCAAACACCAAAATTGCAGGAACTCATGCACACATGAGTCATATGATACATAACTGCTGAGATCCATACGGTTGAAGACATTTTGTGCATGGAAATGCATGGAACACGTAATGCCTTATGTTTCTGTTGCCATCGGATCGAAAGATTGAATCCCAAAGAGCTTCATCACCCGGATCCAGCGATTCCATTACAACCCGTCACGGACTACAATGACCCCCGGCCTGGGGGCGGCCACTCCAGCTAATTCAGACCCCGATGGATCGGCTACTGTGAACATGAACCAAGGTCGGCAAAATGCATGGATTGATTCATCCTCACCAAGACTGTCAACAACTGCAACAAGCTGCCATGCAACAGAGCTGCCACGACTTTATTCCATTCCAAGACGAAAGGTTCCAGTTTCATCCGTGAAGATCTGCCTGCGGAAGGAAGATGAAGGAAGCATGTCTGTTCTCTGGGACTATGTCATTTTGACAGTCATCAACTAGTCGACTCATGTTGGCTCCCTGACCTACCATGTCTGCCGAGCCCTTCTGGAAAAGTCACCAGAGAATCAAATTTAGTGCCACGCCTGCGAGGTCCGTTGGATCCTTACGTAAACTGCTCAGCGCTGACTTCTACGGGTCCCTCGTGGATCTTGGCCTCCAACTCCTCTGGCGAATTGCTGAGTGCTTTCTTCCCAAGGTCAGCGCCACAAATGCTGGAAGGATCTGAAGAAAGTCATGAAGTTGAGGTGAGCCCCCAATTTATGAAGAAAATCACCAAAGAGTATGGCAAGTAGGATGACTTTCGGGCCATCAGGTTTGATCATTTCAGACCGCAAAATATCGAAGCATATTCCAAGCATTTGCTGCTGGAATCTTGTTTGTTTCTCCAGATAGACCTTCGCAACCTGGCCCATCTCCAACCTGCTTGGATAACTCATGTGACTCATAGATCGCATGGCTTGTGCCCGGGGTGTCTGGGCCTCTGGGCTGGGGATTTACATGGATTTACTGGGTCCCAAGTCCAACACGAGCACCTGGGTGGGTCAAGTCATGGACGAGATTCGAAGACATCTAAAGACGCTAAGCTGTGATTCGCTTTGCAAATTAAACAATAAAACTCCAACGTGGTCGTAGACCTAGTAGATTCCGAATAGTTTGACCAATCAGTACTATTCAATACTGAATTTCTCAATATGGAAAGGATTGAACGGCCAAACTCTATGACTCTATGAATTATGAAGAGTTGTGAGCTGCCTAATTTCTCTCGTTTAGGACAAGCCAAGTGTAGTTCTGTGCCTCAACGAGTAGCTCAGACTACAATTCATGCAGGCAATGGTCTATAACATAGATTAATCAAATGAGGTTTTGGTCTATGAGTCTATGAGCGAATTTCCAGACTTCCCGTCCAAGAATTTCCAACTGGCCATAGCTGCCATGGCTCAAACTTGGGTTCTTGTGGACGCTCCCACCAATGTGGCCATTCATGGCATTGATCCATCCATGTGAGGAGAAAAATTGAACAGTCCCCATCAAGTGATGAGGGTGGCATTGAAATGTCAAATGTGTGGCATCCAACTTGGTATTGAAACCTGGCTCAAAAAGGTAACTCAACCAAATCAATCTCTGAGCAACAGCCAACCTTAAAGCTAAACCTTGCACTGCGTCTCCTGCTGCAGCCTCAATGCCAGCATCTCGGGTGAATCGGGCCGCCGCAGCTGCAGCACCAGCAGCACGAAGGGCACCGCCAGCGCCAGCCGCGCCAGGGCCATGTGGTGCCGGAAGCCGACAGCTGCCAGGGCCAGGCCTAGGAAAATGCAATGGGATTAGATTCTCAGGTCCCCAAAATGCTGAAAGTCAACGAACAAATCATCATCCAGCTCATCAGCTTGAGGCCGTTTAAGAGGCCCTTTTTCTTATTTGCAAGACAAGTAAATTGTGAAATAGAAAAGAGAAGGATAATTTCGATAGGTCGGAGATGGTTAGTGACTTCTGGGAACATCTGAGAAGGGTTTTGAAAG